ATTGGAATAATGATGAAGAATTGTTGCCACTCAAAAATGAACAGAAAAAAAAGAAAAAGATAAAAGAATGAAAGTATCATTCAAATATAAATGAATAAACCATGAAATAATATGAACTACGTCAAAGAGCATCGCATTTTTTACAAATTTTCGAGATACATATTTCTCTTTAAATATAAACGCATCTCATTCGTTATGTATCATCATTATGTATTTCAAAATAGCGTAAAGATTTATTAAAAATTTAATTGAGTCAGAAAAACTTCTTCGTGATGAGAATGCATCCTATTCCGCGATGTTGAACATTGGAGGAATCAGTTCCGCACCGGAATCGATTCCGTCCAATTCCGGGAACTCGATCGACACACAACATAAGACACCCAGTCAAGATTGATCGAGTTCGACCGATTCCGGAATTCCACGGAATTCTCACCGATTCCAGAATTGCACGGTATTCCTACCGATTCCGGAATTCCGTACCGGAATCACACCATCCACCTCACCCACATTTATTGTGTTGTGCTGATAAGTTATCCCGTTTGAATACGATCCAATTCCGTTACGGAATTCCGGGAATTGCATCAAGACGGAATTCAGTGGAATTGGACGGAATTCCGTGGAATTCTTACCGATTCCCACCAATTCCGGAATTGCGTAAACTACTTCTAATTCCGGAATTGGACGGAATTCCTACCGATTCCGGAATTGGACGGAATTCCTACCGATTCCGGAATTGGACGGAATTCCTACCAATGCCGGAATTATACGGAATTCCTACCAATTCCGGAATTGGACGGAACTCGATCAATTTTCGAGTGGGTATCGGATATTATGTGTCGATCGAGTTCCCGGAATCGAACGGAATCTATTCCGGAGCGGAACTGGTTCCTGAAATGTTCAACATTGCGGAATAGGATGGCTGCTCTTCGTGATTATGAAATAAGACTTATTAATCAAAGAATTGGTTTATGGTGGTAAAAAAGATAGCGCAAAATCTTAATAATTTTTTTTATTTTGAAAATTCAATTAAATAAATAAACTAAAAAATTCTTAAAATTCTAAATGATTTTAATATGAATATATGAAATATCTTTCGAATAGAATAATTTCAATGTCGATTAAAAACTATTTTAATTCTTGTTCTGATGATCATCAACATCATCATTTTCTTTCTTCTATTCATTTCAATATATTTGTTTATGCATACTCTGACCGTATTTAATGAATTTATTTGTAGATAAATCTTTAATAGTTCTCCTTTTCCTTCCAATCATTTTTATTTTGAAGAAATATTTCCGGCAACTTCGCTTATCGATCTTTTCAATGTCAATGGAATGATCGAGAAAAAAGCAAAAGTTTTTTAAATAAAATCATCAGTTGTGAATATTTTTCTTTATTAGAAAAAAACAGCGAAGAAAACATGTTCATAAAGATCAAATTATTGTTCATTATTTCAAAGATCATTCATTAATTAATAATGTTCGAGAATGAATAATGCTGAAAAGATTTTTATTAAGAGATAAATTGTAAAAATAACAATTGACCAAGCAATAAATAAAGTATAAGAGACATTTGGTTGATCTGAAAGGAAAAATTCCGCATAAATACACAGACAAAAAAAAGAAGAATATTTGAAAGATAATTAATATTAAAGAATTATTGAGTAAACAAAGAAAACCTGAAAGCATAGATTTTAAAGATTTGTTTAGAATAAAACTTTGAAATTGAAATAAAACAATTTTTACAAGTTTTTTTACTTTGATTTGAAATCATTTAAAAATTCATGTAAATTTCTCTTTTGATTAGCAGTTTTTTCTTTTTGGAAAAGCCATTGTTGACGTAAATATTTGTTTTTCGAGGAGACTTCATTGATTATTTCCATAATTCAACAAAGATTTTCAAATATATTATTCTTCGCCGACTTTGATTGAGAAGAAAATCTTGTGGTTTAGAGTTCTAAATAGAAAGAATTCATTCGCATTTGATTTTCTAAAATAAATTCAAAAGAACCTTTTTATTAAATTTTGATTTAATCTTACGAAGAAGTATTGATTGATGATAATCAGCATTCGAATAAGATGACACTACCGTTAACAATATTGCGAATGAAAATAAATCTAAAAAACTGAGAAATAAAAGGATTAATAATTTTTGTTGATTTCTATAAGAATAACTCTAATCACTATCATATAGAAACATTTAAGAAATGTAATTAAGAATAAAATAATAACAAATGCTTCGAAAATAATGACATGGAGTATCTTTTCTACATGTATAGAAACAAAGATTAACGATGATGGACATAAAGATACGATGTAAATCAATTTTGATCCGCCGAATACGATAAATACTAATAAGGATGTTACCATAGATAAAATATTAAAAACTGTTCTAACAGATTTCAGATGATTATCTCTTTCTTGAGAAATCGATCTTTTTTCTATAAAAGACTTCAATTCATTATAACCAACATGATGTTGCACGCAATGAAAGCAATAGTCATCATCTTTTAACATATTTTTTAAAAATTTAAAAAGTACTTCTTCACTAATACCATGATAAATACTATGATCACGCATTAATAGTGGATAAGAATAAAATGCACCAAGATTAACTAATATGATATAAATGACGAATAACAAGGCCAAAAATCCAGCTAAATAAACAGATTGTGTTGCTTTAGTAATAAAAGATGATGGAGGAGTCTAAATGAAAAAAAACATTTAGTTGAAAAGTAGATTAAAATCGAAAAAAGAAATTGTTTTTTTCTGTAGTAACTATGATGTGATGCCAGTCCAAAAAACTGATTTGCTCAACACAGAAAAAGATAGAAATCGAACAGTTTTCTATCATATAAAAAACTATTAATTTTCATACCATATTCACAAAACCAAATTTAAGATATTCATCTTCTAATTATTGTTTCAAATATGAAAAATGAAGAAAGACAGTTGTGTTCAATTCCGAGGTCGAACAATCCAGCCAGGAAACCATCAGTTCGAGACAATTCTGGTGAACGAATCCGGTCGCAGAATTTATTCAGTTCCGTCTGGAATTGACAGGAACCTGACGAAAATGGCAGTCGCATATGGTCGCCGGATTCCTACGTCGAATTCCTGATATTTCTCTGCTGGTTTGGGCCAGAAACGGTAGATTTCCTTGAGGGTGTGGGTGTGGATGTTCATATTGTATTATAATACTACTACACCCACACCCACCCTTAATAATCGAGTTTCTCTAGGAACTAATCACTTGCTTTTCATATATCATTATTTCAATGTTTTCATGATTGACTGCGCATGCTGGATGTGGAATCTAGTAAAAAATAAATTGTTTTTTTAAAATTAAAGAAATGCTTTATCTCAAGGCTCACCGACATTCTATGTATAAGGAATGTTCTTCAAATAGGGTATTTACTTCTATACTCCCATCATGTGACAGCAATTCCACAGCCACGCATCGTTGGCTGATTTGTTTTGGACAGTAGGAGCATGATTGATTGTTTTGATTTTGCACTGAAATAAAATAGAATATATCAATTTTCTTTATCATAGAATAAGATAATAATATCTCACTGAATTGTTATTGTTATATTTATCAGCATCATAACTAAGTGACGCTGCAGCTTGATACTATTTAGATAAAAAAAAACAATTATATTTTCCTTTGTAAATTTAATTTACACTTGGTGCTTGATTATCGATCGTTCTGTTACGAAGATCGATACTTGTAGTTGTATTGCATAAACATTCTATATACCAATCATCATTGGATCTTAGAGCTTTTGAACTGCAACTTAAACATATTTCATGTTTACAGTTCAATATGATATATGATGGCATATTGTTATGGCATAAGTAACAAAAGGTATTCATATTCATAATTTATGTTTAATTAGTTTGACTTTAATAAATGAATTAATATTGATTATAATTAAATAATTCAGACTCTAATAAATTAATATTGCCTTTATTAACTTAAATCTAAAATAAAAACATATTAACATTGTTATATCTAATATGACTACGCTATTTAAATAAAGAAACTTTATAGATAGATTAACTGAGAAAACACGCTTGATACCGAGAAGAACAAAAGCAAAATAAATTCACCAGGAAGCATTGGTAGTCGTACGTACATTCATCTAACTGACTTTACGCGTGTTTTAACTGAATATGTTATGACTATTCTTTGTAAGAAAATAGTAACGACTACGATAGAGTAAATACAAGTAATGCTCGTCCGAGGACTCACTTAGGTCTTTCTCATAAAATGCATTCTCTTCGCATTCACTGGAGAAACAATTGAAATCCGTGCTCTCCTTTGTTGTATTTTATGCGTAGCACATACGCGCCTCCTACACAGTGGTAAACGCAGAACAAAACAAATCTGAGCTGTCGGCACTAGTGGCTTGTTGAACAAGCCTTTAACGAATCAGTGAAGTGTTAGTAATCTTATACGCGGGACAGTCAGCAGTTTATGATCGCCACACTCTGCATTACAAACAGGGAAATATTTGTATATCCATAAAAATGCACTACCCAAAACTCGATTTCTATCAGTTCATGTCACTTCTCTCAATCCACACCTCCCTTCAATAGTCTGAGTAGTAATGAATTTGACAAGTATTCTTGTAAATATGCAATTAATAGTAAGTTCAGAAGTCATTTCTTTTGTATTTTCATTCCAAAGAAAAATCAAATCATATCTATAATAATTCTGTATTATCAAGTTAGTGTCATTATTTGATAATCTTGTTGCTTTTTTTTAGTTCGGATAGGCAGTGATATGTTGTTATGGTGTGCTTTACTGTATATGACGAGATGTTCATTAACATTGACATTTCATGTGACTTCAACTTTTAATCATAGAATCATTACTTAACTACTCTCACAATATCAAAAACAATCATTCATAGATATGCTGACATGTATTTATTTAACAACACAACAAAATATAAGAATAATTGGACTTTTTAGAGTTTGTCATCTTTCTTGCCACTATGCGACATGAATTCTACGATGATTTCTTGTTCCATAGTGAACAGTTTGAGTGGAACCTATTGTTTGAAGTTGACGATGAGTCGGCGCAGGGCCAGCTGTATGAGTAAGGTCAATATGATTTACCCGTGAACAGATAGATCGCCCAAACCCAAACTTAGCAAAACAAAAATGACGCATTTCTTTGAATGTAATTAAAACAATTGTTGAACTAAAAGTATAGTTCAAATAAACAATATATGTCGTAATTGCATCAATATAAACAGAATATGTTAGATTTAGGACAGTTTGAAAGAAATCGTATAGAACCCAAGGCGACCATGTTAGAATAAACCATAAAAGAAATAAATGAAGAGAAAAAAGAAGACGACGATGACTTCGTGAACCAATTTGTCTTCTTTCTCGATTAACTAAAATATATTTTCGGTATAAAATAACAGCAATGACAGAAAGAGACGCAATTAAAATAAGAGCATATGGAACAAATGTAATAAGTAAATCAAATAACTCATAAATCTCTCTGTCATACCACAGATCACATGTTTGTGTTGTTGATGGATCCTCGAGATCAATTGTCGATGCTCCATTTTGCATAATAACTGGATAATAAACACAAGGAAATACGATAGCTATGAAAAGACCAATATAATGAAGACATGTTGCATAAGAAAATGTTTGATGACGAGCTCGATGAAATATAAAAGGTTTTATAACAAGAAGTAAACGTTCAAAAGAGAGCTGAACAACAAGAAAATTATTGATTTGTGTTGGAATATAATCAAGATAAACTGTTAATTGACATAATGGAGTACCAGCTAATGGTGAACATCCATTATGATAATAAAAATAAAGTCGAATGGGTCCTTGAATAAGAGAAAGTGGTAGTTGAGCTATACAACTCAATAAAAGTGCATGAATATTAACATCGAAGATTTTTTTTGCAAGAAAAATTAAAGTAATAATAAATATAATATTGAGAAAAATTCCAAGTGGAACAGTGATGCAACTTAGAATAAATAAAATCCGATACATTGGAATAAGATCATAACCAAGATCATCTTCCAAATCACATTCTATCGATACAGAATCTGTAACATTATTTGTATTCATCGGCACAAGTAGAATAGTACAAAATTACTGAGAGAATATCAGCACAAAAAAAGTCCTCCTTCTGTGAAGTTTTTTTCTGTTGATTCATTATACATGACATGCTATTTCGCATTTAAATTTTTTTTTTTGATTAAAAATATGTCTTTAATGAGCAGTGTCAACACCATCCGATTAAAATCTTTTAATATGCCTACGCAACGAATCTGTTCTGTACGTAATCAAAATCATTCTGCACACACAGAATGATATTTTTAGAGTTAGATTATATAGATTAAAAAAATGGAGAGACTCATCAAATATTATATCATTTAAACATAAAATTCGTTTTTTTAGTATTAAAATGACAAATGTTGAAAATGTTATGATCGATTAAATAAATCGATAATTATGCACGAGTTTATATTGATGTTATCATATCAAATTATCGTAAATCTTGTTTCTGTTTTTATTAATTTTAACTGATACTATCCTTCGGAGACAGCATGTAATTTTCACAATGTGACAAAGAAATGCGTTTTATTTCTATTTAATTATTTTCTAAAGAATCTTTATCACATTGACTAGAAAAACTTGTACATTGATAACAAACAATAGATTCTTTTTTCTCTCTCGTAGCGTTGGTTAACTTTAATTTAATGAAATAATAACGATTTAATAATACGCATAAACTGTCTAAAAGATTTACCCGAATTGAAACGATACCAACAGTGAGATGATTTTTAATTTCAAAAAATTCAAGATATGAATATAAGTTTATATTTAATTATGAGATATTGAATAAAATCATATAAAAGTTAAGTTTAATACTATTTAAGTTTAATTGGTAATTTATTAAATCTAATAGTATTTTCTCGATATTCTCTTCGATTAAATTTATGTTGATCATATTTTATAATTTTATCATTAATTCATTTAATAATAATACTTTGTTGATTTTTATTCTATTTACATATGTTTTATTAAAAAATATTTTTTAAATAATCAAATAAATTTATGAAATTTATAAATAATTTTGGTTCTAGACATTGTTCAGTGAGTCTATACGCATATTTGAGATAATATTCGATTTCTATAGAATAACATGAAAAACGTTTTCGAAAAGAATTTTATTTAATCTATCATCATATTAATAAAATTCGAATAAATTTGAAGAAAGTAAAATATATGATGATTATTTATTTAAATGAAATTGATCAACAAGATGATCATCATGTGTATGATAATAATTAAATATTAAATATGTTTTATTAGCCCATATATGTGTATATCCAAAATCAATATCATGATATAAACTCCATTTTGTTCCACTATAATTTCCATATGTTAAATCATGTCCACCCATCCCAATTAATATTTGTGTAATACCATTTTCTACACATTGATGTTGATACATTGGACATGTTCGTTCATAAGAATGAATATGTCCATAAAGATTTAAATCAACTTGATATTTATAGAGAAGAGGTTCAATATGAAGTTGTAACATAAGACCAATTGGATCAATCACTACCAATGATGTATACATTGGACGATGTGAACCAACAATTAACCATGGAGTACGTGAACGATTTACAGAACGAAGATCATTTTCAAGCCATGTATATTGAGGTGAGAATCGTCGAAAATCATGTTCAGTTGAATAATATACAATATGAATTGGTCCAATATCAAAACTATACCAAAAAAGTCCATTTCCATTCGAAGGTGAATGAAAACGACGAACTAGTGGTACTGCACACTCACCACCAGAATCATAACCATAATTTCCCCTAAGAAAAACTATTTTACTATTTAACGAAAAATTCAAAGATATTTTACCATATTGGACGAAATCCTCCAGGTCCAGGTGCTCCACTGGGATCTTTTTCGCCACCTGACACATGATCATATTCATGATTACCGATACCAACCATATATGGAACAGAAGATGTAACCATTTCAATTTGAGTCATAAAACTATCCCAAAGTGCACCAATACCACGAGCATAACTCACATCACCAATATGTAAAATAGCTGTAACATTATTTGTTTGAACTCTAGTTGCTACTCGATCTATTGTTGCTTTAGCACCGGGTTGCACTGGTGATACACCCATATCACCATAGGCAATAAGATTTACTTCATCATCAATATTTTCTGGTCGATTAATGAAATGATATATTCGTGACCAACCATGTTCATTATTTCCTACTCGATAATAATAGATTGTTGATGGATTTAAATTATTGAGAAGAATTGTATGCATATAACCAGGATTAATAAATGTTTGTGGACCAGTTATATTTGCTTTTCCTTCACACATATCAGATGCTTCATAAGTTATTGTTGTTCCATTACTTTGAAAATGAAGTGATGTGGAATCAAAACCATATTGACATTGAGGAATAACTTCATTTGAATTAGTTACATATGAAACAAACATTTCATCATTACGATCACCAAATGCTAAATGAACTTGTGTTGGTTCATTAAAATTAGATGGTTCAACAATTGATGATTTACCAAGAAATTCATAATTTCCAGTACAATTTTCATTACGTGAATAATAACGAAATTCTAATTGTCGACGTAAATTAATCATAAACCATGTCGAATTATTTTGACCAATTTGAATAAATTCATAATCAACATAATCACAAGCACCTACAATACAAATAAACATAAATAATAATAAAGTATATCTATTTCAATTTATTTACCTGTTTCTCTTGGTATTTCAACAAAATAAATGCCAATAAAATCATCTTTACATGGATTTGATAATGGTATCCATGAAACATCAAGAAAATCTTTATTTAAATAATGTGTTGATGAAACTTGTAAATCTATTATTCTTACAGATAATGAATCTGATGAAATACCAATACTTCGATTACAATTAAATGGACTTGGTATTTCAATATTCGAATGAACTTTTCCAAATGGACCATTGATATGTACATGTTCTTCACCTTCTATAATGACAACAACAACAAGAAAAAAACAAACTAGAGCATAATAAAAAAACATCCTTGCTGTATTTTTTTTATTCGATATTAACAGTATAGATATTTACATAAATGACGAAAAAAATAAAATAAACTGATAACATATCATTGTAAAGAACATCTCATATGTTTGAGTAACTATCTTCTTACCACGATGAAGATAGGCTTCTGTCTAGAAAAAAAAGATGCGTGTTGTTTATCGATACTTGTTTCAACTGGTAAGAATAATACGACATGATCAAAAAAGGAAATAGGTCATTTGATATTCCATCTTGATTCGATTAATGAAAATCAGTATTATTTACCGTTGAAAGAATGTCAAATGTGACTTAACATATTGAATCCGCCATCTCTCCAAATCCCAAATCTTCGAGGTCTAAGAAAGAATGAAGATAAACAAAAATGTATTCATTGCTATTGCACAAGAAACAATCGTTTTCCTTACTTCAGTCAATAGTAGTTAGATTACGGATACGAAACTTTTCATACTGTTGCTAAAATAAAGATTATTGCGGAAAACATAAGAATATTGTTGACAAAGAAAATGATTGAACCGTCTACTCACACTGACATTCGCTGTGTCCGTTTCTCACATTTAAAGTTCTCTCATAAACATGTTAAAAAAATAAAAGCATATCAAATAGTTGAGTTGAACTATTCCAGTGTTTAATATACACGAGCTTTATCCAAATTAAAAGATAATACTTCAATGTAATTCACATCTCTAGAGACTCAGTGTGAACACTCAATGAAGTTCTTCTAGTATTCGATTTTTTGCATCGAAGATTAAAAATACATTTAAACAAAAGATAAATCATCACAACTTACATACTTAGATTCGATAGCATAATCATGTATTGAGAAATTAAAAACAGGCGTCCTGGTTGAATGTAGTTTTTTTAAATTCTAGATATCCTTTCAGACAAATCAGATACGATAAGCAAACATAGTATAGAGTGGTACTGACATTTTTTCTATGATTATCAAGGATGTTAATGTGAGTATTTTAAACAAAACTACACACCCTCAAGAATTCACAATTAATATAAATATCAAACACATCTTATAATAGGTAAGATATATAGCTTTCAATCGAGAAGGTTTTTTTTATCAAAGAAGATATGTCTTATTAAAAAAAATCTTCTGAAACTTTTTTATTTTTTACATAAATATTTATTTGATCAACTATATTATCAATTATAGACAAAAACTTTTATTCTCATACATCTCCTGAAATTTAGGATCAATCTCAATTTATAAATTGTTATTACTTCCAAATAAATGTCGTGACACATGATTTCTTTCTAACTTCGACAGTTTAGCTAAGTTTCTGATTCTTTAGATATATTATAATATAAATATAGAAGTTAAATTATCATTTGTATATAACAGTTAGACTGTAAACTGATAAGAATGATAACTATTGTGTTGTTGTGATAATGAAAAGAAGAAAAAGAATGAGTAGGAGATATGCGTCATGTTTTATTTCATCTTCTATATTAAAGAGAACAACATATAAAACACATAAGAGAGACAAAATATGATATATTCAAGTGGAAAACTCGATTTCAGTCAAGTAAGACTTGTTGGTTCTAATTTAATTCTGCGTCCATGGAAATTAGATGATAAACATTCATTGATTGAAAATGCAAATAATCTAAATATTTCAATTAATTTACGAGATCAATTTCCTTATCCATATACAGAAAAACATGTTGATGAATGGATTAAAATGACAGCAACACCAACATTTAGTAAAAATCGTTACTTTGCTATTGAAGTTGAGAATAAAGCAGTTGGTGGTATTGGAATCATGTTAGGTGAAGATGTACATCGTTGTACAGCAGAATTGGGTTATTGGTTAGGTGAATCATATTGGAATCGTGGATTGATGAGTGAAGCAGTCAGATTAATGAAAGATTATGCATTTGATAGTTTACCACAATTACAACGATTACACGCTGATCCATTTAGTAGTAATATAGCTTCAGCTAAAGTTTTAGAAAAAGTTGGATTTCAATTCGAAGGACGATTGAAAAAATCAGTAATTAATAGAAATGGAAAGGTTTTAGATCAACTTGTTTACTCATTTATTAGAGAATAAATTTTTATTTTTCAACTAAATAAAACATAAATGAACACGATTATACTCATATGCAGATTTCTATTTTATCTTATATCTATATCCATGCGGGATGAATATGGGAGAAACATTGACTAAATCATTGTTTCTATGTATTAAGACCAATAATAAAACGAATTTTTCATTTATCATTAACTCTACAATACGATACAGGATATACTTTCTAAACATTTCTAACATTCTTTCTAAGTGATTGTATGAAAAAATAAAAATAAAGTTGATTATATAAATAATGATGAAGATAATCTGATATTATAGAAGAAGTTTAAATAGATGAGTAAAAGTTTATTAAAATCTTCTCAAATTATTTTCTTATCATTTTCCAGAGTTCGTGATAAATAAAAATTCTGTAATATTATTAATCTTGCAACATAGAGATAGTCATTTATTAATGTTTCTTCTATGAAGAAATATTTTAAGCAAGTTTTTATCATTGGTAACAATTTAAATCTATTTAATCAACGATCTGATAGATATACATCGATTGAATTAATAATAAAAGTGTAGTTTTATCAAAGTTAATTATCATATCCATATAAACATATATCTGTCTTATACTATAATAAACAAGTAAACTTAAATAAATTCGAGATTTATGACGGATTTTCTATGTTAGAATGAGAATAGTATAAAATTAAACGAATATAGAAATATTTCTCTAAAACAATAATATAGACATATATACTGATCAATAAAACAAATCTTAATACATTCTATTCTAAACTTAAAAATTCATAGTTACCTTTTTTTTACTTGAATTCTATTGTAATTTATTTCTTTTTTTTCATTTTGAAATTATTAATAAAAGTATTCCATAATGATTTTCATTGATTTGAAAAATATGCGTAAATATCTACGTGAATAGGAATTTCTTATTAATTCTTCTAATAGTAAAATCCATTTGTTATATTTGAAATAAAATAAATAAATTCTAAAATAATCTTAAATTTTATCAAGACGGATAAAAAATCTAATAAAAATTTATTTCTGTTAATAGTATATTGGAATAATTCATATCTATAATCTCTATCAATGATAAATGTTTCTAATGAAACAATGATATTATCGATAATAATTGTTTTATTTGGAATTCATAGATTTTCAATTACATAATGATCTTAAAAATATTTCATATAAAGATAATTTATTTAATATATAGTTGATCACTTATATTAATTAATTTATTATTATATATATATATGTTTTTTTTATTCGAATGATTTATTTTGGCAATGATGAAAAATATTTTATTTATTTATTTAAGTTTAACATAGATATTTTATATTTCTATTTAATGAACAAATTCTTTATGATATTGATCATCATATTTATCAATTTTCATTTTCATTAAGACTTTCTTTTATTAATTAAATATCGTCATATTAGTTAAGAAAAAACTAATCATTTAAAATAGATCAAATTTATGTTCAACGATAAATAGCAGCTTTTATATATCTTGGTGATATTATATATAGTATCATCCTCGTCTATGCTTCTATTCCAGACTATATTGTTCATTAATAAAATGAATATTTGATATTAGTGATGTTGTTGATTTATTTTTGTGAACGAATGAACTCTTTTGAATAAGTCTAATGAAGAGAAATATTTCTCTTTTATATCTATAGTCATGCTTCGTCGATCAAGCGATTTCTTTCAATCAATTTTTATATTTTCAACGCACGTGTACAATTTTTTTTTCTTTTCTCTGACCAGCAATACATCCATACAAACAAGTTGATGATATCCTATGACAATAGAACTTTAATATCTTTTTTCATTATTTAATTATTTTTAGTAAAAAAAGCTAAAATGATTCGATTTTGAAATATGTGCCGAACTCAACAGATTTACTTTCGTTGAAAAAACACAAAATTTTCTAATGTTCAACAGCGATTGTAAAGTGACACATATTGTAAGTATTTTCTATGAATAGTAAAACACTGAATGTGATCTAACGTATAACATATTATGATTCTTAAATAGACTTCTGTAGAGAGAAGAGTATCTTGATTTATCAACGAAAAATAATGTTCTAGTATAGTATTGTTCTCTTATTATTCTTAAGCAACATTATAATGTCATTAGAAGAAAATCTTTTGTTTCATTTGAAAAAGATTTTCTATTGAAGTAAACAATCTTAAAATAAAAAGAAACTTCCTCAAATTTTTCTCAAGTTAACATAGGTATTACAATCGATTTTCGTAAAAAAAATGACGAGATATTTAAATTTCATGTCTATGTTTTAGAATTTATTTCTTACTCTCAAGCAGAACGAATAGAATTGCATTCTCTGTATTTACATTTGGTTTATTATTATTATTATTTATGATCTATCGTTGCTTTTCTTAACTATAATTTCAAAGTAGATAATTTAATTCTATGACCTATCAACGACTATTTTGTACAATTATTATTCCTTTTATAATAATAATAATATTCACAATTCTATTCTCTAATCGACCAATATATTTTAATACTTTCAAACAAACATTTAAGTCTTTTATTCCAATCAACTTTATTTCTAATAATGTTAAAGAAAAACCAGAAACCTCTTTGATTCCAGATAAAAATTCATGTGTTATAATTCTGAAACAGGCAATTGGTCGTTTAGGAAATCTTATGTTTAAATTTGCCAGTGCTTATGGGTTAGCACGTTTTCATAGATGCAGATTTTATCTTGATGAACCTTATATGAAAATTCTCAATGCAACATTTACAATAAATATAACTTTTTTAAATATTCTCAAATCTGAATATTTAACTTTATCTGGTATTGGTTATAGGGACAATACTGCTTGTCATTATTCACAAAAATTAATGTTACCAAATTCTATAAGATATTTAGAATTAACTGGTTATTGGCAAGCATATCGTTATTTTATTAATTATACAGATGAACTTCGACAACAATTCACTTTCAGACCCAATATTATACAAACAATTGCACCATTTATTCTTCAAGAATTAAAAGGGCGTATATTGTGTCAACCAACATGTATTCATCAAAATCAAAGTAATATTACATTAGGAAATATTGAAACAACTGTTAAAGATCAATTAGACTTAAAAAATAAATTGAGAGAATTACCTTTTACATTAGTTGGAATCCATTGGCGTCGAGGTGATATGATGAGACCAAATAAACAAGCATATGGTCATACTGTTTCATCATTTACTTATTTACAAAAAGCAATGAATTATTTTTTAGAAAAATATACAAATGTTATTTTTATTGTAACAAGTGATGAGAAAAATTATTGTAAGAACATTTTCTCAAATAATTCAAAAGTGATTATAACTCCAGACAAGTTTACAGGTGAACAAGATCTTGCTATGCTTACAGTTTGTCAACACACAATTGTTACTAGTGGAACATTCGGTTGGTTTGCAGCATATCTTGCTGGAGGAGATATTCTCTATGATAAACTTTCACCGGCAAAGAATTCAGGTCTCGAAAGAGATTGTCCTCCATCACAATATTATCCACCTGAATTTATTCCTATGAGACGATAAAATCTCAATCTTAAAAGCATGTTTATTTAAATATAACAATCATACAATTTATTATTCATAGAATTCGATTCATTATTACTTCGTCATCCATTAAAACTATGTTCAACATCGAAATCTGTACGATTAAAGTTTGTATCTACTGTAGACTTCTAAAAGAAATCTTTGTCAGTGTATTTGTTGTAAACAAATTTCGAAGATGACGAAATGAAAAAATGTTTTACTTTTAGAATGAATATTTAATCAATAATTTTCTTCTTTTTATCTTCATTTATATCATCAAACAAAACTATAAGCAGATTGTGTCAGTCACCGATTAAAACTACACTGTCATTCTCATATCCAATCTTAAGATGAAGAACCACAATTGTTAATTGTTCTATTCAAAGAAATTGATTCAAAATTCAAGATTTTTCAGCAGAAGAGAATGCTGAAAAAGTCATTTTTGAAGAAATTCTAGACTTTTTTCTGACATTTCCTATCTCTGATAAATCTGACTGACATCATATAGGAAAAACTCCATGTCAATCACATTGGACTTCTTATTTTGTTATCTTTGATGAACAAAGTTACTCTTAAAATCTATCTAAATATGATCGGATCATAAAAAAGAATAAATATATAAGCGCAAAATAACGCAGAAAAAATGATCTAACCAACTTGGAGTCATTTGAATTTTACATAAGTTCAAATACGATACATCAACATTCTATTTATCATTATTCGATTAATTAATCAAATACATGTTTTATATTAAATTCTTTTCTATATTCTATGCTATATATTATAAATTTAATCGATTTACATTAGAAAATATACGGTTAGTTTACAACTAGAGAAAGATCTATAGTTACATAAAAATTAGTTGATAAATATTTATCTCATAGTCATTTCGAATACTCAGATGATTATAATTGGTAGAAATTGAAGTTAGCTAATATCAAAACGTTTGATTTGATTTTCGATATGAAAAAATACTGATTCGATATTTAAGCGTAGAAACTGACATTATATATTGTCTGTGACATCTCAGATGAGGAAGATGGTCTTCTTCTTCTTCCTCATACAAATCAACTACCTCTTTTGTCTACAAAAAAAATATGAAATTTTCAGCAACAGTACATCGAAAGTTGTTCACCTTTTCATAGAAACGTCATTTTATTGTTGAACATTGGTGTACATGAAACAGATGTAATACTTGGCATACATTGTATCAATTATTTAATTATCTTCATATGTTAAAAAATATTTTCCCACGATTTTTAAAAACTCGCAGGGTTTAAAAATGTCCATAGGTGAGATGAGTATCTTTCCTATTGAAACTCAATGAATTAATTAGACAGGACCATAAAAATCAACTTTCCTTATAATTGTGTTCTAAGTATGAGGATAGAGTAAGATAAAAAATTAGAAGATAAATTAAATATCAATACCGAAAAAAAGGTGTAATTTAACACGTCTGAGTCGATATATATCTACGAATATAATTATATAAAAATAAATCACACTGAACAAAATCTTGTATTAGAAATTAATTGAGAAAGAAACGTTTTTAAAAAAATCAAGAGTCGCATATAAGTGTAAATTTTAATTTGACTTTAATAATTGTTAATGTTTATCATATAGATTCTATTGAAGAAATTTGATTTTATTATCACTTTAGAAAATACTTTCAAATATCTGTCTCATTAATTATCTTTTTTAATATTTCACATTTCATTTATTCACAAGTTTAACAAAAAGAAAGTCTAATTAATATACCAATAGACCTTATATATATACATATTAGAATAAAAGATCTCATTTATTTTCTTCGAAGAGTTCATAAATATTTTTTCTAGATGAAATCGATTATTTTTTTCTATTTGATATTATTAACGAATGGTTTTCAACCAATTTATTTTAAATTAAGTCAAATTGGAAATGAATTTGAAGCAGCCAATTCTACTGAACTCTTAATCATATTTGATAATATTCGTAGTGTTATTCGTTGTGCTATCCTTTGTTCTTCTAATATTCAATGTCATACATTTAATTTCCATTCAAATTCTCATCAATGTTATCTATTTGAAGGATCTATTGATACTGGTCATATTATATCAACATCTTCATCAATCATAGTCGGATGGATTAATGGTAAGATAGATTTTATATATGAATTAGATGAGATGAATTCGATATAATCAGCTAAAAGTCAGTTGAACGTCAAATCATTTCAATATCTATACTACTATTCAATCAAATAATCTCGTTTTTCTATTAATGACAGACTTAGATTTACATTTGAAATGTAATATAGATAACCTTCCTCGAATATCATTAATCGTCTTTTACCAAACATGTTAAACTAAATATTTTCATAAATAGGAAAAAAGAAAAATACTTAACGACCGATCAATCGTTATGAAACAAAATGACAAATTTCGAATATTTTAAAACTATGAAAAATATTCCAAAGTAGATTATTTCTTATATTCGATGAATAATTAAATCAATATCTTTTATATCTTTATTCAAAAATTCCTAAAAGATAAAATCAATATATATATTTATTTAATTTTCTTCTTTTTATATAATTCCTAGTTAAACAAGATTCATCGTTGACATTCACTTCTATCATATCAACATCCACATCATCATCCACAACAACTACAATAGAAACAACAACACCTACAACTACAATCGTAACATCAGTTCAAACAACAGATTTAACTTCAATAGAGACATCAATAATAACAACGATACCTCTAACTACAATAGTAACATCAGTTCAAACAACAATAACAACAACAGGTCTAACTTCAATAGAGACATCAATTCCAATAACAACAACATTTATGACTACAGTAGTAACATCAATCCCAATAACGACAACACCTCAAACTACAATAACAACATCAACTGCAACAAGTATGAATTTATTTTTCAAATGGCTAATATATATAGAGAGAAATTTAGGAAATTTCGGAATAATTTGAGTAAAAAATGAATTTAAAATAATTTTCTTTTCTATTTGAATTAAAAGATAGAAAGAGATAAGATTGTCTTTCATATTGAAATAATACTTCTATATATTCGAGGAATTGAATTTGTTAGTTTAATTGAGTAAATAGAATATTTATAGATAATTGAAATGTTGAAAAGATAATTTTCGCTAATTTTCTTGTTTTTGAATGTAAATAATTAATACAATATTCTTTGAAATCTTTAAATAAATTTAGCATCAATGTTTTGTCCTCCTCAATTGGTAACAAATGGAATCTTATTCTCAATAACAAATCCGTCATCATCAAATTATCCATTATATGATTGTTATAATTATCAATGGATAGCAACAGATTCATCATCAACATTATCATTTTTTTTCCGTCAAGATCCAGGTGGATGGATGTTGGATGATGTTAATGTTTATTATAATTCAACACAATTAATAATCAATGGAGGATTTGAAACAGGTGATCTTACAGGATGGACATGGTCAGGTACTTGTAATATAAATGTTGGACAAGCTTATTACGGTAGTAATGATGCTCATAATGGTAATTATTATTATTATGACCCTTGCGCTGGAGATAATCATGGTGATACATTACAACAAACATTTCCCACAATTATTGGTCAAACTTATTTTATTAGTTTTTGGTTAACAAATTATGATTGTTGTTCAACTCAAGAAATTGCTAATATTACTATTTATTAAAATAGATTTCATTTCATTTCATTTACAAATGAAACTTTCACAACTTTTTTCTTTTCCTTTCGATTTTATTAAATAAGAATCGATTGAAATTAAAAATCGAATTTTTATTTCTGTTTATCTTTAAATCTGTAAAATAAATTTTGGAAGAATTTGTCTCTTTAAAAAAATGTAATTATTATTCGTAAACATAAATATTAAATAAGAAATTATACTTTGAAATTTGAAAGAAAAATCGAATAAAATTCTTGTAAAACATATTCAAAGAATTTCGAATGATTTTTCTAAATTAAAAACAATTAAAAATAATTAATAAGAAACATATTTTTCAAATGGATTATACTTAACAATTCTTTTTCTGAATACCATCTATGATTTATATTCAATAATTATCTCATTTGCTTGTCAAAAATATGAAAACAATAACAAATAAGATAAATAATTCAATTTCAAATAATCAAATCGAATACAGTCAAGAATGTCCTTTAGAAAATGTCTTTTCAAAAATGTCCGTAGTTTTTCGTCCTTCAGAAAACGTCCTTCATATTAAATGTTCTCTGTATAAAATGTCCTTGGGAAATGGTCCTTTCCGAAATGTCCTTTCGCTAACAAAAGTCGATAATGTTAGTTTAAAAGAACAATGATAAAATTTAATTTAGAAAAACGTTTAAAATTTTTATTGAATTAGTCATTCGGTACAAAGGCTGGGTGGGTGTGGGTATTCCTAATTTACTACCCAGAGCAACACCTCTACTCACACCCACTCCCTCTGCAGTAAAACAACACGAATGAAATAATAATCACAAGATAGATTGGTATAAGTATAATATAATTGCTAATGATAACAAGCATTATAGATTATTAGTTAAAGAGTCGTTACTAATTAGTAAACTTGAACCATCACTTAATAGAACTACGTGCTCAGCACCTTTGATAGTATACCCGGAAGGATTAAGAATGAAAAAGCCAAAAGTCAAAATTAAATCAACGGAAGATGCACCACCAAGGGGGGAACCAATCAGTATTATGAGCGCTCATAATACTGATCGCCCTACTTGATGAAGGTATCTGTAAAATTTCTGATTGGAAATTCAATAGATGATCTCTCTTGCTTTCGTATATATGTGTAAATTTTTTTGTCTTCTGTGTTCTTTGTCTTGATAATGACAGATTATCTGTCGAAACGTAGACTTGTAAAATTAGTTTAATAAATTGTACAAATTAAATTAGATTTGTTTACAAAATTATTATTAATTAATATTAAAATTAACTATATTTAACAAATATATATATATACACGTATAGTTATAACATGAAGTTTAAAGCTGCTGTTAAAGCTATTTTATTTGGTTTCTATTTAAATGAATTTTTAAGCATTCAACAGGATTATCAATGATTAGTATTGACAAGGTAGCGCTCATCCGATGGATTCGCTGACCCTTTTCTGAAAGAAAATTTTTTATGATTATTATTAACAAGTAACGCTCGTTCAGAGACTCGCTCAGCTCTTTCTTGTAGAAAACGCGTTCTACAATACTATTGAACTTTTTACTTGTACAGTTTGCAAAAACTAACATCAGATTCGAGTTCCTCGATCTCTATTACTCTTCGGCCAACCCTTAAAAAAAGTGGTCTTATGTCTAAAAAAATTGATACTCAAAAAAATGCCAAAAAACTAACTTCGGATTCGGATTCCTCGACCGCGATTACCCTTGGTCAATCATTTTCTGATGACCACCGATAAGTTTTCTTTGAGTTATAAAATGCTGCAATCTTATTGGCTCGGACAAACTGACAAACAAACGGACGAACTTTAAGCATTTTAACGACCCTGTTTAACAACCCTATAACCCTTTCTTTCAGAAAAGGGAATGAAAAGAATTCATTTCAATTTCTTGATGATATTTCATTACGTGCTGGTGCATTATTTACTAATCCATATTTTATCAAGAATATAACTGCGAAAGTTTGTGCACGAGTTTTTGGTGAACAACAAGATGCAACTGAAGATATTGAAGAATTTTCTAAAATAACTTCACTTAATCTTCGACCTCAACTTCAACTTCATGGTTTACTTTCATTTGATTCTTATATGGAATCTAATGTTCATCGAGAGGTTAGTCAAGATAATATTACTGAATTTTCATTTGATTTTTTTTCTTTTAGTGGAATTATCATGCAATAAAAGCAAGTGAAACTGATCCGGAAATTTATCGTCTTCATGTCTTTCTTGTTACAATAAAACTTCTTCATGAATTATCCCATTGTTTAACTCCATCGTTTATTGATTATCGAAATCAACAAAGACCAGATTTAAAACCGTAAAACTTGCTTCTTTTTAAAATCATTTCAATTTGATTTTTTTCTTATTCTTTTTCTTCTTAGTCTGGTCGAAACACCATCCGACATGGGACGAAAAGGAGTAACTAATACTGAACGAAAACGAGGAGGAAAAGGAATTCGATCCATCGGTGATATAGGTTTTGCAATGGAAGAAATTCTCTTTAATGGAGCACGTCTTTTTCATCATCCATTATCTAGTGACTTTCATTTTCTCGTATGTTTTTTTTTACTTCGTTATTCCATTATCTTCAAGAATATTGTTACACTATACATCAAAGTTTTCTATTGATTCTGGAGAATTAAGAAAATATGACGAAGATGAAGAATCATACGTTTATAAGAACAATTAGAAAGATTCCGGGAAGTCACCAACGATTGATATATCATCCCGATAGTGAAAGTCATAGTGAAATTAGCTAGAGGAGCAACAAATGATTTTTATTCCAGTAAAGAAAGATCTTTCGTGATAAGAAGGAGAAAAGATGATTGATTCAACTCTTTCTCGTCGAGATGATATTCCTCAAATATTTATTAAAAACATGAATAAAATCTTTTTTTGATATTTTATGGACATACGAGCAAAAAAAGAATTTCTGTTTCTCAAGACTCTTTTCTCTCCGATAAAGAGAATAGATCTAATTTCAAATTGATTAATTTGAAATATGAATTCTTTTTTATTTAGATCAATAAATTGTATTTGCAAGAATACTGAAGCAAAACTTGTTGAAAAACTAATTATGACATAAATATTATGTCAATTTGATCAACATTTGTCTCCCGAAAATTTATTTACATTTCAAGATATAAAACAATTGGTGGAATACAGCTTGATAACGGTGAAAAACGGTAGCCCTTACGGCTGACGTTTCAGATGAGGTGGAAACGACTAAAGAAAACGACGGTAGTTTTTCATCGTTTTCAAGCCACTTTACGACTCACCGTAGACGATGGTCTCAAGGTGACCGTTTTTTACTGTTTACGATGTCGTATTCTTTCACCTGGATCGCCTAAAGACTCACTCAACTCTTTCTCGTAGAAATCGCGTTACTGAATAACTACCAAGCCAAGCTACTGATTTATATAATTAAACAAAACAGAAGTGAGATTTGAATTCTTCGACTTCGATTACGCTTCGGTCAATCCTTATAAAAAAAACAATTCCTTTTATATCTTTACCTAATTTTTGGACTAATCAGTGAAATGCGGACACACAAGCAACGAAACAATCTATGTTTGCAAGACTCTTCTCTACGAGAAAAAGAATTTACAACTGGAAAATCTTCTTGGAGAATATTTATTACAGATTTCGATAATTATCAATAAAAGGATATAATTAACAGAAATTCTTTGAATAATTTTATCTCTATTTTATTTAATTATCAAAAAATAAATCCCGTTATCAAACAGGAAAAATGCTATATGAGTAATAAGTAATTATTTCGATAATGGTTTATTTCTTGATATTATTCTTGCTAATAATGAAAATAATTACAGAAATTAATATTTATACAAATTCGATTTTATCATCAGTTATTACAAATGATTTCAATCATAATGAAAAAATTCACATTGCTACTTTTGATCCACAAAATAATCTTTTAGTTATTTTTTAAAATAAATCTTAAATTAATTCCTAAAAATTCATTTGACGTAATTCATTGTCTAGACGATTGATGATCATTCTATAATAGATTTTTAAAATCGTTTGTTTGATGATTAAATTCAGACATTGATACACTGTAGCACAGTCTTTTTTGAGTAAAAAACTTTCTAACTGTTCGATACTTAATGTTTGATATACCACTCAATATCATCGGTAGAATGAATTCTCTTATTGTTACTTTTGTTAAGAGTGTTGTTATGATAGAGAATAATATTCGTACAAATTTGAAATGAAAAGTAAAAATCTATTTTTTTGTTATTATATTATTCGAGAGGATGATCTAATCAACGAAAACAATTGAAAGGTCATGTTTTACACGCACAATTAACTTCCATATTATTTTATTAAGAAATCTTGACTAGTAGTCGAGCATTTGTTAAGTAAGAAAAGAGAATCTATCAATCATTGATCTTTGTCTTCTAAAATAAGGATGAAAATATTCTTTAGATATTTATTTAAATGAATATTTCTCTGACGTTCTTTTAAACTTCTACGATTATATTTTAGCGGGAGAATAATTAACTATATAAAAATCTGATCTCAACTTGACTTAAAAGATGATAAACAATAGAATTATTTTGAATAGCTTCTCTTTATGATCTATCGATAAGAAGTGCAATATAGTTACCTTTTTTCTAACATGTCAATATTACGTACATTGCTTTTTTTTCAAAAGATGTGCCATAAAATTGGATATAAAATGTGTATTAAATCTATTATTGTAAAAGAGAAAAGTAAAAGAGTATAGATGAAAATCTCAAAGATTAACAACAACTTTCGATCGACAAAAAAAGGGTTTTTTTCATTTTAATCTTTACTTTTTTTGTTCTATATTAAATAAATATTACGATTATTATTTTAAAATCATTTTCTAATCGAATTTTTGTTACAGTTGCCAATTAATTATTAGAGAATGCTTCTTCTTCAATATCAACGTTTTTCATATACTCTTTTACTTTGATTTTTTTTCTTGATTCAATATTCTTTTAGATATTTTGTTTAAATATTTATCAAAATGAAATTTGGTTTACATTTATTGGCTAATCTAACACCTGAATGGAATTCTCAATATATTCAATATGAATATATGAAAGAATTACTTAATAAAGTAGTTGCACAAGCACCCGTAGTAATCGATGATGATGATGATAGAAATTCAGCACGTGAACGATATTTTCGTCGTGCTGATGATGCTTTTTTCGAAGTAAGAATTCTACCAATGTATTATTCGTTTATTATATATTTATTTAAAGTATTGTGATAAACAATTAACCAAAATTAATACTTTCTTTGCTGAAAAATTGGCCGAGTAAGTATTCAAATCTATAAACTACTATGAATATTTAACAATTATTAGATAACGATTAATAAAACACAACTTTCTATAATTCGATCTATTCATTACGATAGTTTTAAAGATATATTCAATTTTCTTTCATTTTATCTTATTAACTTTGACTATAATATTTAAAGTGGAATCTTAATTTAATTAATATCAATACAAATATGAAAATCTAGAAGATAAGTTGAGTAGAAATTGAATTATCTAATATAAAATATATGAGTATAGAAGACTAAATAAGACTTAACTATTGGACATATAGTTTTCAATAAAAATTTCGAATGAATTATGTATTGCTTGTAGAGCACTGAGGCGTTTTGCTACTCTCAAAGATGAGATCAAGTACAGAGAATCAATATATGGTGATGCTGCTTCACGTAAAGTGTTATCTGCTGGTATTATTCAAAGAAGAAATAAAGTTACCCATTCTAATAATGATACAACTTTAACGACAACTCGTACTCCACGACCAAGTTTGATGATGCCTCTCAGTCGCATTCTGCCCGATCGATTAGTAAAAAATGATGATAAAGAAAATAAACGACCTACGGATCATATTAATACAAATAGTTTGAAAGCGGCATTTAGTGAATATTATCTAATGTTGATTTTATTACAAAAATTTCAATTACTCAATTTTACAGGATTTCGTAAAATATTAAAAAAACATGACAAACTATTTGAAACAACACGTGGTGAGGAATGGCGGTAAATATTTATTTTCTTATTAGAAAATATATTTATTGAATAATTTTGTAATAGAACATTAAATGTTGATACGGCAACATTTTATACATCGAAATCAGTAACAGAACTTATTGGAGATGTTGAAACAATTTATACAAATGCATTCGAATCAGGTGATCGACCACGTGCAATGAAACGTTTACGAGTTCCACCACTTGAAGAAAAACAATCACCTATAGTAACATTTCGACTTGGAATCTTTATTGGTAAGCTGTTTCAATGTATCTATAAATCGATAGGAAACTTCTATTTAATAAATTATATTTGTAGGAATGATCTGTGTTTTATTACCAATGGTAATTATTCTTATTGCTGTTCTCAATACAAGTCAATCAGGAAATGCATTAGCATGGCGTGAAGCTCTTCATCTTTATCGTTCATCATTTTTAATAATTCTTCAAATAACACTTGCTGGTATAAATGTTTATGGATGGTCATCAGCAGGTGTTAATCATATTCTTATATTTGAAATTGATCCACGTGAACATTTAACTTATCAACAATTACTTGAAATAGGAACATATTTATGTGTTTTATGGTGTCTTAGTTTCATAACATTTATTGTTCAATCTTATTTTGATTTTTATCCATTTATTCAACCACTTATTTTTCTTGTACTTATGATTCTTTTTCTCATTAATCCATTCCCAATACTTGCTCGTCCAGCTCGTTATTGGCTTATAAGAACATTAGGATTAGTTGTTTCAGCAGCTTTTCATCGTATTCGTTTCGCTGATAATTGGCTTTGTAATCAACTTTCATCAGTTGAATTAGCTTTTTTTGATCTTGAATTTTTTTGTTGTTTTTATTTTTCGGATCGTGAATGGTGGTCAACAAATTTATCTAAACCCTCATCACCTACTGGTACATTTTGTTCAAGTTGGACAAGATTTCTTTTACAAGCATTTTTATTAGCATTACCATCTTCACTTCGTTTTACTCAATGTGTAAGAAGATATTATGATACAAAACAAGCATATCCACATCTTGTTAATGCTGGAAAATATTCTGCAAGTCTTGTTGTAGCAATGACAAATTCACTTCGACGTGCAAGTATTGCATTGAATAAATATTATTCAGATAATCCAACAAAAAATCCATTTCTCTATATATGGGTTGTGACTGCACTTGTTAATTCAACCTATAAAGTTATATGGGATATTAAAATGGATTGGGGTTTATTTCATAAAAATGCAGGTGAAAATAAATTTTTACGTGATCATATTATTTATTCATCAAAGAAATATTATTATTATGCTATTATTCAAGATATTGTTCTTCGATATAGTTGGACAATAAATATCTTTATACAATTTAAATCGGGATTAGCTGAATATTCTGATGTCATTGGTTTTTCTTTTGGTTTAGTTGAATTGATTCGTCGATTTTCTTGGAATTTTTTTCGATTAGAAAATGAACATTTGAATAATTGTGGTAGATATCGTGCAGTACGAGATATTTCAATAAAACCCATTACAACTGGTATTGATTTTACATTGATCGACTCGAAACTAAGTAGAGAACCAGGTATTCGATATCGAGGTAGAGTAACACGACTTCAAACAATTATTGACGATGAGAATATGGCAACAACTGATGATACAACAATGAATGAATTAGAAACTAATATAGCAGATTTTGTCAAAAATCAGACAGCAACATCAAATACTGTAGTAGTACCAGATATGAACGAAATCAACAAAACCTTGACTGATATTCGTTCAAGAACAAGTCATTCATTCACAGATGCAGATGATTATTGTGATTCACCAAATCCAAACAGACTTGAGCATCGTGCAACATCTGTTTAAACGTATCTCTTGCTATTTTTACATATGTATAACATGAATCATCTATTCTAATGTCAATTTTACGAAGTAATACACATCATTTTTATATTTTTCCTATGGTATTCATTAGAAAAACTATATTTTATCTGTTCTTGCTTAATTTTTAATACATTTTTATGTCGTAATGTTTCTATTGTCTCACATTTTATTCAAACAATTTATTGTAATTTTTAATTTTAAAACAAAAAAAGATAATTAACTTTTCTTAAAAGTTCGAGCAAACTAATTTTTGAATAATTATAAAAGACAGTATTCCATTAAATAAGTTTTGAGGCAGAATTAATAAAGAAATTCAAATAAAAACAAGTAATGTTCATCACTTCGATTCACTTGACCCGTAACTGAATAGAATAAAACTATTTCTTGTTATTGCTAAACTGAGAGTACCGATCTACCAATTTATATTTGCATTACGACGCAAATTTTTCTTAAGTGCAAAAAATTGCTTCGTATTTTTCTAATATAATTTTAAGAAGTAATGCGATGCAAAGATAGTTAACTGTCTACTGAAAGAATATTATCACAGGTAGCCCACAAGAATGACAAAAAATGTCTGTTGTTCCTGATTCTCATGGTAACTGTTTGTGGATCAATCAAAACTGCTAACAGGCCAACTAATATTTGTAGTTTTCCAAATCGATTGAATTTTATAAGCTAGGATTGATGCGCAGTTTCAGTTCTAGTTATTTAATATTTTCATGACGATAATAGAGGGCAAGTTCTTACAGAAATAGTAATATTAGTCGAGCACTGTGAACACATCTTGAAACCTTTGTTGGCCTGTGGATAATAAGAAAAGTCAAAAGAGAGAGACAATCATCGCGAATACTTTTCATAAAAGAAAAACCCAAATTATTATAATTTTTTTATAATTCACGAAAAAAATTAAAATCATTTCTCAGCCAGGCCAGGCCGTCAGCTCTGACGCTAACTTAAATATTTGAAATATTTCTTAATGATATATAGAACATTATTTTATTGAGTAAATTAAAATAATGAGGCAACGCCAGTTTTACTTTTAATATGGACGAAGATGAAAATAATATTAAGAACAAAAAAACGGAACGTTCGTATATACAGAATATTATAATTCTATGGAAAAAAGTTAACCTATTTTTGAAAAGCATGTCGTTGATCATCATCAATACATTTTCTTAATGCATGTATAAATAAATTCACGATTTGTCCAAGCATCTTGTACCACAATTCAAAAAAAATAAGGTCCAGGATTAGAAGCTAAAAAATATTCGTATTATAATTTGATCATTTTAGAATTTTACTAGTCGCATTATTGTAAAATATTTTTCAAGTAAACTTATCAGTTTAGTTATCTTGTTATAGTGCATATAGAAAAAAGAGTTCAAATATCAAAGTTTATTACTCATTCACCAAATATCAAACTTTATTATTCATTTATAAAATGTTAAACTTTATTACTCATCCATCAAATATGACACTTTTAGAAAATGCTTGAGTTTATAACAAGTAGATGTTTAGTTTGATTTCCTCGTAAAAGTCGAAACTAATATTAATCATCTCTCGTTCATATCTAAATATAGTCATATTCCCATGCACATCGCGACAGTGCAAGGGCAAGTGAATCGAGTTTCTATAAACGTTATCTGTATGTAACTATTTTCTAAAAATTAATTGAATAATTTATTTTATTTCTAATTTGATTTATTTTTTACCTAATAAATTATAGAAAAAGAAAGAATTTTCTATTTATTTGAACTAATATTATACATTCGATTAAGAAAAGGAAGAAACAATTTGATAATCAATAAATACACATAATGATTCATACTCAAAAATTCCAATATAGACAACTCATATTCTCTTTAGCTATAATACGTCAATGGTGTAACCTAGTCATTTATTGTTTCATAAAAAATTCTTTAGTAATATGCGTCATTGGGAGAATAGTTTTATGGTTTCAATCGAATATTGTCAGTGTTGGTATAAATTTATTTATATAGATGTAGTTGTGTGGGCGAATAAGACTATAAATTTCGTTTGATTTCTACAAAAGTCTAACACAAGCTCGCTCAAAAGAAGAAATACAGTTCATATCAACAACTTAACAATAAATCATCAAATATGAAATTGGTAGCTATTATTGTTGGATGCATCTTGGCTGTAGTCTGCATATTATACATTGTCAGTAATGCGGTTCCATCATGGTATGTAATTTTATTCATCCTTCCTTTGATAGTGCTTAGCATTGTTTTTTAGAAAAATAACATTAAATTTCTCATAAATGAGAAATATTCAAAAAATAATCGAAAAGATAAAATGCAAATTCTAATAATTTTTATTATTTTAGGGTTGAAATAACTACTGGAAGTTATACTTCTACATATGGCTTATGGACAATTTGTGCCTCAAGTCTTGGCGTGAGAGAGTGCGTTCCACTCAAATGCTCAACAGCAATCGGCGATTCCAGTTTCTGTAGTAGAATATTAGCTGGTAGAGCTTTTATGACATTAGCTTGTATTTTATCTGGTATTACAATGATATGTCTCTTTATATGTGCATTTATAGATGAAAAGACAAGTCGAATATTATTACTAATAGCTAAAACACTTGCTTTTATATGTTTAATTATGGGAATAATTAGTGTTGCAGCTGGCGGCAGTACTATACAAACATTAAGTCAAGATGGTGTTAAATGCAGTTTGAGTGCAGCTTCTATACTAGGAATTGTTGCAATTATCATCAATTTTGTTGGTGTTATTGCAAGTTTCTTTATCAAACGATCTCAAAAATAAAGAAAACAAAAAAACGACATTTTCCTTTCGCTACTTGATAAATAATCTTATTTGACATTGCATTTTTTTCTTTTCTTTGTTGTGTACTCAAAAAGAGAGTACACTACTAGAATCGGTTAGTGTGGCCGGCCGGCCGTCCGTTTATCCGATAACGTTTGAAAGACTCCTCCGATTGAGCTGGAATTTTGTACACAGAACTGTCTGATCAAGATCTCGGTCGAGTTCGAAGATGAGCTCAATCAGTTGTACCATTGCTGAGTTATGAAAGAAATTCTCATTATTGATCAGACAATCCCTGAGGGGGGGTGCAGGGAGTTTTTTTCAAAACAAAATATTATTCTCAAAATTATTCACACCATATATGAATCGACTCAGTTTTTAGCGCTGATTCGGAATCTGATATTGGTTTTGAACCAAATCGTAGCTTTCTAACAAAATATCGTCTGAAAAAAAAGGTCTCAAAATGCACAAAAACTGTATCCAGACACCAAATTGCGTAGATATGTCTCAGATAACTAGTAGTTTTGAGGTTTTTCAAATACCCGGTTTTGTAGCTAGTCAAAAGGACTATTGAAAGGTAAAAACCCGAACTCGATAGCTATTAATATTGGTGAGTTATTATGAAAATACTGATGTTTGTATCTATCATATATCTCTTACAAATTCATGCGGTTGCTTATGATCGTAATTCCCCTAGTTACAAACACAAATTCATTTAAAAATTATTCCTCTTACCTAGTATTTTTGGAGTAGATAGAAGTTGTGAAGAGCCTTGAATAATGATAGGTGGTAAATATGGTGCGTTCGAGGTTTCCTCAACATTACACTATCCGAAAACTATGAAAAACTCACATATACTGACACTGCTGTTAGAACTGTTTATTGTTGACTAAAAATTGAAAAACCAGGTCAATGTCTATTTCCGCTTTTTGTAGTACACATAACTCTCGGATAAAATCCGAGGTTACGCATTTATTTTTATTATGAATTCATCTAATAAACTCGATTAATGGTTTAAAATTCGTCATTAATGATCCTATGCCAAGAATACACTTGATAAATGGAAATTAAGCTTATCTATACAATAGTTGTATATCATTTTATTTAATGACTAGTCAATCTCAATACTTTTTCATACATTGAACATTTGTCATCGAAAACATATGACATTTAGGTGTAGAAGTTTCTCAAATTTTAGAATCATTTGTTTAATTCCCTAAACTGTAAAGATAGGGTCTAGAAACGGAAATTGATCTATCTAAATGAATTATTTTTGTCGGCAATATGGCACATTTTTGATAGTATAGTTTTTATTTGCTAATATCGTTCTATCTGAATAGCATAATATTTAATTTATTTATGTCATTATTTTGTTGAATAAATTAAAATAATGGGGCAACACCAATCTTATTTTTAATATGAAGGAAGATGAAAATAATATTAAGAACGAAAAAAACTGAACGTTCATATACACAGAATATTATAATTCTATAAAAAAAATGTTAACCTATTTTGAAATATTTTTGGTATTTATAAATAAGTGAACGATTTATAAATCTAGCTTATTTTATGAACGAATATTGGATAAATAAATGCGAGTATATTGTATAAGCATCGGACCAGTTTACGAATTTTGAACTGATTGATAAACCAAAGTGATTAAATTATCTTTATCATTTCAAGTGTTAATATAAGTATACAATATCCTCATGATGGAATATGATTTTACCAAATTTAAAAGCACTATTGTCACGAGTTTATAGTAGACATTTAGACAGCTTTGAATTTCTAGACTTGTCAAAATAGCAACTTCGACCCGATTTATAAACAATTTAAATTTTTGTCAAAATCATTTCGGATTCAACAGTAGAGAGAATACAAGAGAAAATATCTAAACATTAAAAAATGACGTGAAATATTATACTTTTCATAAATAGTAGCCTTATGCATATGCACTTCAACATTCTCTAAGATGACAATAGTGATATGACTTGAGAAAATGAATCTACTCGATGAAAGAACAATAGTAGACGAGAGTATAGGAAGTCGTTAAAACTATTATCTCTCCGTTGTTCAGTTCGACTAGATAATATCTGAATATTTTCATCAATATTGTAGATGAATTTTGTGTAGCCATTTGGATTTGAGTTATTGAATTTTTGGCGACGCAGAATGTTTGCATTGTTCGTTAAGATTCAAGAACAAACAGCACTTTGTTATCATAAAAACATGTTGTTGCAGATAAAAACGAAAAACAAATCAACACAAAAAGTTTGTTAGTAACCTTGGAATGAGCAAACAAAAGAACAATTAGCCACTTATGTGATGTGATTGTTGTTCTTGCCAACTTTATTTTTTTTGTATCTGCGCAATTATTGTTAGATGTCTTTAGATAAACTAAAGTTTTTCATCGATTGAGAATCAGAAGTAAACATCATTCTTTCCCCGAATGTCTACCTTTTTTTTGCTACCGCGCAAGATATTGTCGTTGCTTCGGTTGTGGATGATGTTGAGGGTGGGTGTGAGTGGGTGTGGATGGAAAGAAAAGATCAACACCCACACCCACTCTCAAGATGGTTTTCTCCGAGACAATGAAAAGCAGAATTGGCTAGAATGCAAATACAAAAGAAAATGAATAACTATATATGTAAACATATTTTCTATCTGTTTTCATTTTTATTTTTTCAGATTAATTTATAAAGATGTCATCGATAATTGATGACAATATTAAAACTAATGATTTCGTAATAACTGGTGTTAGTGGTCGATTTCCTGAAGCAAATTCTATAGATGAATTTGCTTATAATCTTTTTAATGGTATTGATATGGTTACAGTTGATGATCGTCGTTGGCCAGAAGGACAATATGGTCTTCCAACACGTAATGGAAAATTAAAAGAAGTTGATAGATTTGATGCTGCTTTTTTTAATGTTCATCCAAAACAAGCACATAATATGGATCCACAATTACGTCTTTTACTTGAAGTAACCTATGAAAGTATTTGTGATGCTGGAATTAATCCAACAAAATTACGTGGTACAAAAACAGGTGTTTTTATTGGTGCAAGTGGTTCCGATGCTCAAACTGCTTTTTCATCAGATCCACAAACACTTGAAGGTTATAGCATGACTGGCTGTGCAACATCAATGTTTGCTAATCGACTTAGTTATTTTTTTGACTTCAAAGGACCATCATATACAGTTGATACAGCTTGTTCATCAAGTCTTTTAGCACTCGATTGTGCTTTAAATGCACTTCGTAGTGGTGCATGTGATTCAGCAATTGTTGGCGGTGTTAATCTATGTTTTCGACCTCAGACATCATTACAATTTCTTAAATTACAAATGTTGTCAAATGATGGTGCATGTCGAGCATTTGATTCAAGTGGAACTGGTTATGTTCGATCGGAAACAGTTGCAACTGTATTTATACAAAAACGTCAAGATGCTAAACGTTTATATGCAACAGTATTACATTCAAAAACAAATACAGATGGATGGAAAAAAGATGGTATTACATTTCCAAGTGGTGCCATGCAAAAAACTTTACTTGAAAATATTTATAATGAAATACACCTTGATCCTAATCTTGTCGGTTATGTTGAAGCACATGGTACAGGAACACGTGCTGGTGATCCACAAGAAATAAATTCAATTGCACAAGTATTTTGTAGTAAACGTAAACAACCATTATTAATTGGTTCAACAAAATCAAATATGGGTCATCCTGAACCAGCATCCGGTGTTGCTGCTTTAGCAAAATTACTTGTTGCTATACAAGATGGACATTTACCAGGTAAATATATATTTAAATTTATATACATATATACATTTTTGAATATTTTAATAATTAGCTAATTTACATTACAATTCACCAAATACAGATATACTAGGTCTTACTGATGGACGTCTTAAAGTTGTCACAGAAAAAACTGAGTAAATATTGTTTAATAAAAAATTTCTGACAAGATAATTATATATGTATTTTTATTAGATTACCAAATAATTTAATGGCAATAAATTCATTTGGTTTTGGTGGTGCTAATGTTCATGCTGTTCTTGATGTAAATCGTAATCGAAAAGAAATTGAAAATTCTTCACGAAATGAAACACGTATTGCAATTACTTGTGCACGCACAGCTGATGGATGTGAAAATATTCTTAAACGTTTAAAACAATCAGAAAATAATATTGAATTACAAGCATTAATGACAGAAAATTCGTTTCATCCATCTCATACACATCCATATCGTGGTTTTACTCTTTTAAATTCTTCAGAATCATCAACCATAGTTCAGGTATAGAGTCTTAGTTTTTGTTTTTATAAAATATTTGTTTTTGTTACAGAAATGTAATAATGAACGACGACCAATATGGTTTATATTTTCTGGTATGGGTACACAATGGTCTGGTATGGGTCGTGATTTAATGGAATTAAAATTATTTCGTCAATCAATCGAAAAAAGTGTAGCTGTACTTGAAAAATATAATATTGATTTATTTAAACTTATTTTACAATCAACACCAACTGATCTTGATCAACCAATAAATAGTTTTGTTTCAATTGTTGCTATACAAATTGCATTAGTTGATTTTTTAAAAACTATGGGTGTACAACCAGATGGAATTCTTGGACATAGTGTTGGAGAATTAGGTAAAAGAAATTTTGTCCAAAACTTTTAGAAAATTAGATTATTTCATTTAGGTTGTGCTTATGCTGATGGTTGTTTTACAGTTGAAGAAACAATTTTAGCTGCTTATTTTCGTGGTAAATGTATTCAAGAAGCAAATCTTCCGGCAGGTGCTATGGCTGCTGTTGGTTTAACATGGGAAGAATGTAAAGAAATGTGTCCATCAGATATATCACCAGCTTGTCATAATGCAATTGATACAGTAACAATCTCAGGTCCAAAACAAAGTGTTGAAAATTTTGTTGCTGTACTTAAAGAAAAAAACATTTTTGCTAAAGAAGTTGCTTGTAATCAAGTTGCTTTTCATTCACATTATATGATGGAAATTGCACCATTATTAAGAAAATGTTTAGAAAATGTTATTCATAATCCATCTAAACAACGTTCATCAAGATGGATATCATCAAGTGTACCTGAAAATCGTTGGAATACACCATTAGCATCAACATCATCACCAGATTATCATGTAAATAATTTATGTAGTCCAGTTTTATTTCAAGAAGCATTAAAATATATTCCATCCAATGCACTTACAATTGAATTAGCACCACATTGTCTTCTTTTAGCTATTATTAAACGATCATTAAGTACAGATTGTGTACATTTAAATTTCATAAAACGTGGTACACATAATCATATAAATTATTTTTATACAAACTTAGGTAAACTATATAATGAAGGTGCAAATATAGATATTATGATAAATTATCCTCAAATTGAATATCCAGTACCAGTTAGTGTTCCATTTATATCTCCTTTGATAGCATCTCAATGGGATCATTCACAACAATGGAAAATTCCAACATTTGAAATGTTTACACAATCAGGTTCAGCTCAACAAGCTAAACATGAAATTGATCTTAATGATAGCAGTGAATATTCATTTATAATTGGACATCAAATTGATGGTCGTTGTTTATTTCCTGCAACTGGTTATCTTGTTTTAGTATGGAAAACATTTGCTAAATTACATAATTATGAAGATTATCGTCAAATGTCTGTTTTATTTGAACAAGTACAAATACATCGTGCAACAATATGTTCATTAACAACAAAACTTATTTTTTATGTTAATATTTTACCAACAAATGGTACATTTGAAATTATTGAAAATAATACAATTATTGTTACTGGAAAAATCTCATTAAGTGAACAATTAACAATGCAAAAATTTCATAAACATGATGAAATTAATTCAAAAGATAATAATTATTTACAAACAAATGAAATTTATCGAGATTTTAATCTTCGTGGTTATGAATATTCAGGTTTCTTTCGTGGAATTAAACAAATAAATATTGATGGAACAAATGGTGAATTAACTTGGAATAATGATTGGATATCCTATCTTGATACAATGTTACAAGTACATCTTATACCATCAAAAGGTTTACAACTACCAACACGTATTGATTCATTACGTATTGATCCAAAATTACATGTAGAATCAATATCATCATCATCATCATCAACATGTTCAGTTTATGTTGATTATTGGAATAGTCTTTGTTTTTCAGGTGGTATTGAATTAATTGGTTTACATTGTACAGGTACATCGAAAAAAAATAAACAACAAAATACGATACTTGAATCATATTTATTTACACCATTTAATAATGAAACTATTGATAATGAACTTAATAGTTGTTTATATTTAATACTTGAAAATACATTAACAACAACATTATCTTTATGTCAATTGGAAATGAAAAATTAAGTGAAGAAATTTTTAATTTCTATTCACAACAACCATCGATTAAATCATTTGAATATATACTTATTACATCTTTACCAGCAGAAGAAATGAATTCAAAATTAAATTTAATTGAGAATTTATCTTCAGTAACAACATCAGTTGATTTAGTTATAGTTAATGAAAGTGAAACAAATACATATGATTGGGAAAAATTATTTTCTACATGTAAAACAAATGGTTTTCTTCTTGTTTCATCAGATATTAACATACCAACAGAACAATTTCAAAATGCTAGTTTTATTCAAGTAGCACAAAGAAAAAATTATCAATTATGGAAAAGATTATCAAATGAAAATCTTAATGATACTATTGTTTATTTAGATGAAAAAATTTTTCAATGGATTGAACAAATTAAAACATTATTAACAAATTCTTCAATACAACGTATTTGGCTTGTATCTAAGCAATTAGATAATGGTATTCTTGGATTTTTTAATTGTTTAAGACGTGAACTTGGTGGACAAGCACTTCGATGTATACAAATTCAAGATTCGGAAAATATTCTCAATGAAAATATATTAAAAACATTAAAGATTAAAGATTTAGCTGTTAATATCTATCGAAATGGTGTATGGGGATCATATGTTCATCAACATTTACAAACATCGAATGATTCAGCATGGATCGAAACTGATAATGCTCATGTTAATGTATTAAATCGTGGTGATTTATCATCACTTACATGGTTACAATCACCTATAATAACAAATGAAAATAAAGATAATCCTTATTTAGATACATGTACTGTACATTATGCATCACTTAATTTTCGAGATATTATGTTAGCTACTGGAAAATTAAGTCCAGAAGCAATACCTGGATATTTAAAAATGCAAGGTTGTTTATTAGGTCTTGAATTTGCTGGATTAGATTCAACTGGTCAACGAGTTATGGGTCTTCTATCAGCTAAAGGTTTGGCTACAAAAGTTGCAATTGATAAACGTTATTCTTGGCATGTACCTGATCATTGGACACTTGAACAAGCATCAACAATTCCAGTTGTTTATGCCACAGCTTATTATGCACTTGTTATACGTGGTCAAATAAAACGTGGTGAAAAAGTTCTTATTCATGCTGGTACAGGTGGTGTTGGTACAGCAGCTATATCAATTGCTTATAGTTATGATTGTGAAGTATTTACAACAGTTGGTTCAAATGAAAAACGTGAATATCTTAAAAAATTATTTCCACGTTTAAATGATGAACATATTTGTAATTCACGTGATACAACATTTGAACAACAAATACGATTTATTACAAAAGGTAAAGGTGTTGATATTGTACTTAATTCATTAGCTGAAGATAAACTTCAAGCATCCGTACGTTTACTTGCTCAACATGGTCGATTTTTAGAAATTGGTAAATTTGATTTCTCACAAAATAATCCATTAGGTATGAGTATATTTCTTAAAAATACAACATTTCATGGAATTTTACTTGATTCATTATTTGAAAATGCAACTGATGATTGGTTACGTGTACATGAACTTGTTGAAAAAGGTATTGAAAATGGTGTTGTTCGACCATTACAAAGCAATGTATTTAATGCAAATGAAATTGAACAAGCATTTCGTTTTATGTCACAAGGAAAACATATGGGAAAAGTTCTTATTAAAATTTATGATGAAACTCACCCATTAGTTCGTGCTTTACGTAAAACATGGTTTTCACCGAATAAAACTTATATAATAAGTGGTGGTCTTGGTGGTTTTGGTCTTGAATTAACTGAATGGCTTGTTGAACGTGGTGCACGACATTTAATTCTTTGTTCTCGTAGTGGTATTCGTACGGGATATCAATTAAAAAAATTAACATATTTACAAACATTTTTTCAAGCAAATATATCAATATCAAAATTAAATATAACAAATGAAAAAGAATGTGAAGAATTAATTGCAAAACAATCTTTACCAATTGGTGGAATATTTCATTTAGCAGCTGTTTTACAAGATGGTTTATTTGAAAATTTAACCGCTGATCAATTTGAAGAAGTTATTGATATTGAATATAATGGAACAAAATATTTAGATAAATTTACACGACTACATTCACAAAAAACATTAGATTATTTTATTGTTTTTTCATCGATTAGTTGTGGACGTGGTAATGCTGGTCAAACAAATTATGGTTATGCTAATTCAACAATGGAACGTATTTGTGAACAACGACAAAAAGATGGTTTACCAGCTTTAGCAATACAATGGGGAGCTATTGGCGATGTTGGTATGGTTATTGAAAATTTAGGTTCAAATGATACAGTTGTTGGTGGTACATTACCACAACGAATGACATCATGTTTAGAAACTATTGATTATTTTCTTCAACAATCAACACATATTCCTGTTGTTTCATCTTATGTTCTTGCTGAAAAATTACAAAAAACATCTGGATCATCAACAGCATCAGCTAGTTTACTTGAAACAATTGCCAATATTCTTGGTATATCTGATGCAAGTACAATGTCATCGGATAGTACATTAGCTGATCTAGGTTTAGATTCATTGGGTAGTGTTGAAATCAAACAGTTACTTGAACAAAAATATGCTGTATCATTAGCTAATTCAAAAGAAATTCAACAATTAACTGTTAAACGTTTACGAGAAATCGATTCAGGTTCATCAACATCATCATCATCAGCAGCAGCAGTAACAATAAATAATACAGAAAGAAAACCATCAGTATCAGCATCATCAATTGATCTTAAACAATTATTACCAAAAGATTTATTAATTTTATTAAATGAAAAAATTCAATCAAATAAATATCAACATTTATTTCTTATTCATCCTATTGAAGGTCATGTACAAATGTTAAAAGATCTTGCACAACGTTTACCAATTACTGTATTTGGACTTCAATCTACAAGTGATGTACCTACTACATCGATTGAAGATATTGCTGCATATTATATCAAAGTAAATATATACATATAAATTCTTTTTTTTTATTAATTATTTCTTTTTAGAAAATAATTGAAACACAACCAACTGGTCCATATTTAATTGGTGGATATTCATTTGGTGCTTGTATTGCTGTTGAAATTGCTTTACAACTTCCAACAATTGCACATCTTTTATTACTTGATGGTAGTCATTCATATGTTGCTACACATACAAAACAATATCGAGCAAAATTCAATGAACCAAATCATGCTGAAGCTGCAGTGGTATGTATATTTATATAATTTATTTTTTTTTAATTAATATTTTTTTCTCTTTTCAGCTTTATGCTTTTCTACAACAATATATACCAAATTTAGATCAGAAAAAGGTTAGATTAATTAAATATATAGAATAAATTTTTATTCGATTTAAAATTCTATTTTAGATTCTATTTGAATTAGCAAATCTTTCATCTTATGATGAACGTTTACAATATGCTGCTCAACTTCTTGATCAAACAGTTCATATTGGTAAAGATAATATAATTTTAATTGCTAAACAATTTCATAATAAATTATTATTGGCGGAAAAATATATTCCATCAAAAAAAATACAATGCCAAACAACATTATTTCGTGTACAAACAGGTAGTGAATATAGTGAAAGAATTGGAGATGATTATGGACTATCAACAGTATGTATTTCACTCGTTTTGTTTTTCTATAACAAATTAAAAAATTATTTTTCTTTTTTTTAATTTTAGGTATGTCAAAATTCGCCACAAGTCCTAATCATTCCAGGCGATCATCGAACATTTTTACAGGGTGAAAATGTGCAAGTTTTGGCTAATCAGATTAATACCATTATTTTATAAGAGTTAATCACGATCGTGCTGTACTTTTTAATTATCTTGGCGATGATAAACAAAAAACACATAATAAATCAATTTAAATGTTCGGTTCACATAGTTTATGCACTAGTTTTATACGAAAATGATAATGAATTAATAATAATAATTTGAGCTTTCGATATATTAAGTATCATCTTCACTAGTAAATACTGTGTTGATCTTATAATTGCAGGAGATGGTGAACTATCATTGATCATTACTGTATATGATTACAAATAAGAGAACAATCAATAGATTGATTTCATCAAGACCTATTATATTATTGTCATCGTCATCATCGTTATAAAATGTATTATAATCATAATCACATAGACAATTTCATAGTGATCTATTATTTGTCTTTATATCCAGTTATATTTAATGATATTTCACCATGTCATGCATATTTAACAACATCATATAGTATTTTACTGAAGATGTTAGTAGATATATCGAAAGTTCTATTTATTATTATTAATTTTTGTGTAAAACTATTAATAAAACGACGTATAATATACGTAGGTAAAGTTAGCACCATATTTCAGTAATTCTTCTCCATATTCATTTGAGGACTTGTGTTCAACCTCGAAACACTTGTGTTAGGTGCAGAATTAAAACTTCTATCGAATGACACCGATTTCAATATGAGTCATCGAGTAAAAACCAGGCTTTTCCATCAAAATACTGTTTTTTTCCAATAGTTCTATCAAACTATTTAAAGTAATTTTTGTCCTAATTCGCTTGAGTACATGTGTTATGCCTGAAAAGTTGATTGATTCGATGCAGAATTTGATTCTCTATCGGATGATGTAATTTTTGATGGAGATCATTGACCGAAAACTGTGAATCTCACCTAGAGTACTAGGTGATTTACTCAGTAGTTCTTAAGGATGTTAGTATATGTATTATAGTTATTCTTCATCCTCACCCACACTCTCAAGATTTTATCTACGTTGAGTTTTAGATGTTTCGGAATACACTAAATTTAATATATGTTCAACAAAGATTCTTAAATGTTATACATCGTAAATTTCATATGACATGTCAATTACGTTGTGGTGTTGTGTCTTATATTTATAATTCACCATCTGTTAATATTCGTTCTAGCGAAGATAAACAGCTGTTATTAAATAGTTTGAATGTTTTAAAACATCGTGGACCAGATGGACCGCCATCGTTATGGCAAAATGAAGAGAAAACAGTTGGTCTCGGTCATACACGTTTGTCTATAATTGATTTAAGTGATCATGGTCGACAACCATTACATTCTTATGATAAAAAATTACATTTATCAATGAATGGCGAATTATATGATCATGATCGTTTACGTAAACAAGCTATTGAAAACGATGAATATGATTTTACAAGTGAAAGTGATAGTGAAATTGCAATGTATTTATATAGAAAATATGGCTTAGAATTTGCAAAACATTTACGAGGAGAATTTGCTATTACAATGTATGATGAAGAACGAAAAGTATGTTTATCATTGGAATATTTAATATATTCTTTTTCTTGTTCTATATTATAGTTATTTATTGCTGTACGAGATTGTTTTGGTATTAAACCATTATATTATACATATCATGAAAATAAACTATTATGCGCATCTGAAATTAAAGCATTATTTGCTTTTGGGTAAATTTTATGATCTTTTATTTGTACAGAGTTTTAGAAAAAAATCTTTTGAATTCATATTTTATTCGAGAAAAGATAAACCTTCAATAAATTAGTCGAACAGTTTTATCGATATTATTGTTTAGGTTCTTTTTTTCTTCATGTTTAGTGTTCCAGCTATTTGGAATGAAGAAGTCATTTACAATATCGGACAATACCATAGTTTACAATCTATATACAAAAATATTCATCAACTACCACCAGGTCATTTATTAGTAGCTACTGAAAATGGTACAGTCAATATATCAAAATATTATGAAACATCATATATAACTCGAGAAGAAGAAAAAAATGAGAAACGCACAGAACAAGAAATGATTGATGGTGTGCGTGAGCATCTTTTTAATGCAGTTCGTCTTCGTATGCGAGCCGATGTAAAAGTTGGTATTTATTTATCAGGTGGTATTGATTCATCTGTAGTATTAGGAATGGCAACGACACTTACTGATAAACCTATTGATACATATTCAATTGCGTTTAAAGATCATCCATTTTTTGATGAAGAAAAGTTATGTATTGATACAAATAAATTTTTGGGTCCAAATAAAACTACATCACATATTTTAGAAATAACACATGAACAATTAGCAGAAAATTTTGAAGATTGTGTTTATCATTATGAACATCCATTGGCAGGTACTAGCCCAGTAGGGAAATATATCTTATCAAAACTTGTTCGAGACAATAATGGAAAAGTTGTATTGACAGGAGAAGGAAGTGATGAAATATTTTCTGGGTATATTATATTAATCAATAGAATTCATACAGTTGTAACATTTTTAATTTCTTTCAGATATGTTTTTTTTCGTAATGATTATCTATTACATGATCTTCCAAATGATTCATCGACCTATATTTCAAAGAATGAACAAGAACGCCAACAAATAATAAAAATTTTGTCGTCAAATATTTTTAGTAGTGTCTCCGTTCTTGATGATAAACAACGTATGTTAGATTGTATTCAATCAATTGGTTATTTTCCATCGCATTATCGTTCATTTTTTGGAGTCTGGCCAGATATTTTTGCTCAACAGCTCAAAGAAAAGTATAAAAACTTTCGTTTAGACAATGTTTATTTTAATCAATCATATCTCTATGATTATCATATAAAAAAACAAATGATTAACTATGAAATATCACGTGTTCATTCAAGTCAATATATTTTTCTCAAAACTATATTTCAAAATATTCTTTTGAAAGCATTTAGTGATACATCAGAAATGGCACATTCTGTTGAAGGACGTCTAGCATTTCTTGATCATCATCTGGTCGACTACGTTAATCATTTACCTACAAATATTAAATTAAAATTAAATAATGGTGTCATAACTGAAAAATATGTTTTAAAAGAAGCTGCTCGACCATATATTACTAATGATGTTTATAAACGAGAAAAACATCCATTTACTGCGCCACCAACATTATTAAATCCAAAATCAAAACTTTATCAATATGTTCATGAAACATTAAATTCTCAAGATATGAATCAATTGGAATTTTTATTCGATATTAAAAGATTACGTAAAGAATTAAATGATTTACATAAAAATCAAGAACAAAATAAAAAGTATTCGTTCAGCGAATTGGCAGGCATGGAAGGACATTATTTGACGATATGCAGTTGTTTAACTTTAGCGAAACGTTTTCATATAAAACACGAATAGAAATGAACATTCTATTTTTTTATATCCAAATTGATTAATACATTTTGTTGAATTTTCAATCAATATCCTACATCTTCTGTTATCTATTTTCAGCAAAACAAGAAAGACGAGAACTATTATGTAAAGTTGGTAGTTTATGATGTTGTCAATTGTATTACATCTTTCTCTAGTATATTACAATTATTTCTCATAGAAGAAGTATTAGTACTTATGTTATTGCGTCTTTATTATGTTTCTCCCAGCCGAAAACGACGTCATTTTCATATAGAGAGCATACAAACGCGGCGGAATGTTTCTAAATCATGTGAGACTCGATACAAAGTTTTTTTAAATAGTAACGAAACAATATTCATGTTACATTGTCATATAACTTGTTCTTAGGGCTGCCACGATCGAGGAGAGACTAGAAGGCAGTTATTCATCCGCTCGGAAATTTTATTTCTTTTTTGCCCACGATTTTTTAGGAGTTATTAAGGGTGTGGGTGTTGATCTTTTCTTTCCACCCACCCTCACTCATACCCACGCCCGCCCCACAGCCATCTTGAGGGTGTGGGTGTGAGTGTAGATGTGCATGTGTTTGTCAGTGTGGTTGTATTATAGATGTAATATTCACAATCACACCCACACCCACACCTTTTAAGGTTCATTTTCATTCACATGATTTTGTGTAGAAAACGCGAGTGAAAGCATCTTCTCTATTACCATAGTAATTACGCCTTAGAAAATGTGAGAGTGAGAATGAGAAGTAAGTGGTGATGTATAAAAACCTTGTGTCTTTTTTTCTTTCACAAACTAATGTGTGTTGTTATGGATATAAAAAGTAACTATACAAAATTGTTTTAGCACTATTTTTTCTTTCTGTATTAATACAAAAAGAATCGGCGTCATTTATTCTTCTTTTCGTCTATACATTAATTTTTTTTCGAGAGAAATACTGTTTTTTCTCTCAGAGTAATCTCTGATACATATATATAGATGAGAAAAACATTATTTTACTCACAACGCAGTAACCAACAACATCTTCTCCTATAAGGTAAGATTGAAAAAACCTTATTTTTTAGTTACAGATTTTTCCTCTCAAAGAAAGAATATATAAACGCCATGTTTCTTAGATACGTTTCTTTTACATTATCACATTGTTGTTCATACTACATCATGGTAAAACATAATTTTGTTTTTCATAATTTTACGGACGAAAATGAAGATCGTATTTGAAGCGCTCATGATCGCAAACGATCGTTTCTTATTTCTATGTGATCTTTTAGTCTTGAGGGTATGGGTGTGGGTATTCTATCTTGTCTATTCTTATACCCACACTCTATTGGTTAAATTTCTTTTTTTACTATTATGATATAGTCATTATAATATATTTTTTTATTTTAGAAAAATCAAAAGGACATTTATGTCATTGCTATTACTATTTATTATTTTTATTATTCTTATTTGTCTTACATTCCAAAAATGGATTATCCATTCTATTCAAATATTAAAAGCGTACAAGAACATTCCATGTTCACCAAATAAATTACCTATTTTAGGAGATCTATTAACTCTACCATTAGATTCGCACAGTAAGAAATAATTTCATATAAAACTAATGATACATATATTTTTTTATGTAGAATTCACGAAAAAACTTGATGAATACTATCAACGTGCAAGAAATGAAAATTTATTTTCAATATGGCTTGGCACGTATCCTTTACTTGCATTTTTTCATCCAGTTGGACTTGAAGTTTGTTATCTATTTTCTTCTTAACAGATAATTATATCTTCTTTTATTTATATTAGCATTTTTTTTCTGGTACAAAAAATATTACAAAATCATCAGATTATAGATATTTTCTACCATGGCTTCGAACTGGCCTATTAACAAGGTTAGTTGAAATCAACAATCTAATTTCTCAAATAATTTTCTGTAATATGAGATAAGAAACTAAATATCAAAATTATCAGTGATTTCGAAGTATTTAGATTTTCTATTAATTCACTAAACATTTATGAAACTAACAAAAGCGTTTAATAATATACTACTCTTTTTTAGTGAAGGAACAAAATGGAAAGATCGTCGACGTATTCTAACGCCTGCATTTCATGATAAAGATTTGTTAGCTAATTCTGTTGATATATTCAATGAACAAGCAACTATTTTAGTTCAACGTTTAGCTTCTTTGAAACCAGACAAAGAAGTTAATTTATATACTTATATTGCAGCTTGTGCTCTTGATATTATTTGTGGTATAAATTTATTAGTGAACTTTCTTTCATAAATTGATTGTGAAAATAATTTAGAAGCTACAATGGGTTTAAATGTAGGTGCCCAACAACAAAGAAATTCTGAATATGTTAATGCTGTTTTGAAGTAAACAAATTTCTTTTGTAATGAAAGAATTCATCTTTCAGAAAAAGATAATTCTCTCTAATTTAGATTGACAGATATATTAATAAAACGATTACGCATGCCATGGCTGTGGCCTGATTTCCTATTTAATTTATTATCTGAAGGTCGAGAACAGAATCGATGTTTAAAGATAGTTCATCAGTTCACAAAAAAAGTCATTGATGATCGTGCTCAAAACTTTCATGCAAATGAAACTGATGGAAAACGTCTTGCATTTCTTGGTAACAGTTCTTTTATTTGTTAGTCATTTTGTAGACAAAAACGATATTTTTTGTTTAGATTTACTTCTGAAACAAATGCATGATGAACAACTAACTCTTCTTGATATTCAAGAAGAAGTTGATACATTTATGTTTGAAGTATAAAGTCTAAAGAATATATTTCATAAGAATATAATAACTCTTTCAGGGACATGATAACGCAGCAGCAGCAATACACTTTACTTGTTTTACAATTGCATTATATCCGGAAGTGCAACAGAAACTACATGAAGAAATTGATCGAGTATTTGGAAATGATTATGATCGATCATGTACAATTGAAGATCTTAATGAATTAGAATATTTGGAATGTGTGCTAAAAGAGAGTCTTCGTTTATATCCTCCAGTTCCATTTATTGCACGTAAAGTACAAGAAGATTTCATGTTTCGTAAGTCAATTGACTTGTTGTTCAATGAAATACTTCATTTATTTAATGCTATATATAGATGATCATAAAGTTTTAAAAGGCTCATCAGCTTTTATATTTATATATTATATTCATCGCGATCCAAAATATTTCCCTGATCCTGATCGATTTGACCCTGATAGATTTTTACCAGAGAATAGTATTGGTCGATCGCCATATGCATTTGTACCGTTTTCAGCTGGTTCAAGAAATTGTATTGGACAACGATTTGCAATGTTAGAGGTGAAAGTTATTTTAGCAACAATACTCAAACGATTTAAACTCAAAACGAGTCAATCTGCTGACGATTTACACCTTGCATTTGAAGTTTTATTACGTTCTGAAAACGGCCCTTACATACAACTTGAATTACGTCATTAATTAAAACGGTTTTTTTTTTAATATTTATATTTTGGAATTTATTTTGAATATCTCGAAATAAAGCTTCTAAAATGTACACATAATTCAATATTATTACATAGGGCAATTCATAAGTAATGTTGTCAAGATTTTAATTTTTTATAGTAAGTGCAAAAGATATTAATTTTTTTTATGTACTGACAGAGAAAGTGATACGCTATTTCTTACTGTACTATTTGATTATATGTCACCCAAGATTATTACGTTGTCCGTAAATCAATAGAAAACAGATTAATCCATATATCTAAGATATAGATCAAACTGCTAATCCCAACTCTTGCTTTTCAGCAATCGATCTAACGTCCACGAGGATATTTATTTGATAGATTTTCAATGCATTTATAAAAATAAATGTGGAAACTTTGGATTTTATCCGAAAGTTATGTGTACTGCAAAAAGTGTATATGAAAATCATAGGGAAATATCAGTATTTTTGTAATAACTCGGAAATGGCCCAGCCAATTAAGCTCATCTTCGAACTCGACCGAGATCCTGATGAGACTGAATTGTGCAGAAAGTTTCATCAAAATCTGCCTCTCCTTTCGAAATTTATCGTGTAAATGGACGGACGGCCGGACACACTGACCAATTCTAATAGTGTATTCACTTTTTGCGTACGCAAAAACAAAGTCAATGTCAATGTTAGCATTCTATGTCATTCATAATTCCTTATTATATTGCTTGATTCATCATGGTGTATTAAGTTCTCTTTTGTAATAACGATATTTGTTAATTTAAAAACAAATGTACAAACAAAGTCTATAGTATGTTCAGGATACTATTTTTTAAACTGATTTTACTTTAATTATTCCAAGAATTAAAAAATAATATATTACTTGAAGGCCTAAAGGTACCCCTGTAATATAGAACTTAAGGGTCTACGGTTAGAGCCCATCGGGTTCACGTTTTTTTGGACCCGGACCCGGACCCGATGCCTGGTCCGGGCCCAAGTTGGACCCGATTTCAACGAGCGCTAGTCTGAACTCGAACTGTACCTTTCGAAAATTTTTTAGTCTTAACTATCCAAAAACCAAAACTGAAGAGCAAAAAAGAAGGTCTTTGATTTATTTTTCTGAAGACCTATCAACCAGTTTTCAAATCCAAAATGGCATTCTCATGTTCACCGAGTAGTATAAAGATATTATGTTGATAATATATTTCTTTTTATCCGGACCCGGTCAGAAAAGCTTCGAGACCCGGACCCGGACCCGGCTAAAACAAAATTTTCAGACCCGGACCCGACGGGCTCTAGCTATAGTGCATATAGAAAAAGAGATCAAAAATGAGAATTATGATAAGAAGAAGAATAATGATGTGATTGTTCAAAGCATAACGAAGAGTTTGATCCGAAAGAAAATGATAGAGAACAAAGATTACACAAATAAATGATGGAATTAGAACGAGAATATAAGAATAGAATGTAATAATGTCAGATATCATTATATGAACGAGTCTGAGTAACACTTCAATGTTCAAAGTCTCGAGAATAAAATAATTTCAGAATAAATATTCCGACTAAAGAAAAAAAAGCTTTTATCTCATATTTTATCTGACTTTCCATGTCATTTTAATAATAACTAGACTTATATACATTCTTCTTTTTATTGATTATCAAACACCTTCGAAAGATACTCTTTTTTATTTTGATCATATTCAATTGATAATTGAGATGCATTCAAGAACACCCTCTTCACTTTACTGTAAATAGTAAAATGAATAGATTTTCAAATCTATGAGACATATTCACCATCGCAACATAATTATACTTATATGTGACAGAAGCGATTGTATTTGTACAATTTTTAATGAAAATACCACACTTATATCTGCGTATACTAGTACATTACCACTGTATGCAAATTCCGTATTTGTTGATCGGGAATTAAACACGAACATTTTCATGAATAAAATTGTATTTATTAGTTTAGAAGTGAATAATTCTTTAGACTTAAAACTAGGAATGATAAATGATTATTAAGACAGTTGCTTAATAGATATCAATGTTAAATAAATGATTTTCTTATGTAATACTAAGACATTCAAAGATAAATATCAATTGAGCATATAAAATTTGAATATATTATTCTTGATCTTGAAATCTATTGTTTTTTTGTAGTTTATATTGTTTATTTTCAATAGAATCAATATTATTCTTAATCTCATTCATTTGTTTAAAGCGAATAAAGATTCTTATTTTCTTCCCGAAAATAATAGTACTAACAAAAAAAATGAAAACTAGTAGTGTAGAAATGAGAAAGCTAAGAAGTCCTAGGTTTTATTCTTATCATCAATATTGAAAATGTCCAATGTATAATGTTCAGATGAGAAATTGTTCTAATCATAAATCTAATTTTCATTTAATGAGTATAAATCTATAAGCTACTTAAATCATTGGATATTTAGATTTTATTTTGAAAAGAAATTCTTTTCATAACTTCCATTATATAATATGTAGGAAGAATTCATAAATTCTATAAAGAATATTTCAATCGAAAACCTGATTTTTCCTTCTTAAATATCTATAATTTACAGTAATAAGAATTCGAGTTTATTATTTAAATAGAAAAATAGAAACGTTTCTTCTTAATCATAACTAAAACTGATAATTAGATAAATTTTTTATAGAAATAACTAAATTTATCAACCTTCTTCATAATTCAACTTTAGAACGAATAGACAAAAAATCTATGTTCTATAGTGAGCTTTGACAAATATTCGATTCTGACTTGATTATATTTCATATATGATGAAATATATAAAATAAAAGTTTTTGTTAACTTTTGATTATTAATATAAAAAGAATTGTTTAAGAAAATCTTTCTTCTTATTATTAAATTCTAATAGAAGAAAAAGAAGGAAAAGAAAAAAAAGTTATGTTTTTGATATTTTGATAATAAATGAATGTATTATAATGATGTTGTTGATGATCTAACTAATAAATAAATGCTTATAGCTAATGCAGTTAAAGAAAATAATCCAATAATAATAACAAATATAATAATTAAAGTTTTTGAACATCTAAAAGGATTTTCTTGAAAAGAATTTCTTTTCGAATTATTTAAATTTGAGATTGGATATTGATATTCACCAAATGAATTATTATCTCCACTATTATCTTTAAGTGGTTCATGATAAATACCTTTTCTAAACAAAACAAAGAAATAAGTAAAATTATGAGAATTAAATAAATTTCAATCAAACTTCATTCGTCCTTTATCAATAGTATTTGGATAAGATGGTTGTTGATTTGAATAAATATTCTCATTATTATTATTTAATTGTTGTTGTCGTAATGCTAATGGATTATTTGGAATTTGAGTTGGACTTAGATATGCTACTGGAGAACGACTATCATGATTTCCATATCCATCATCAGTTATTGAAAATTTCTTTTAAATATTTTTTAAAATTATTTTAGCGTTTTTTTAAAATCCTTTACTTTTGATGAATATTGAGATGGAACTAGAATTCGTGGAACAACTGGAACATTAGGATATGCATATTGATCCATTTTTCAAAAGAAATTTTTTCGAGAAATAAAAAAGAAAAATCTACTTTAGTTTTTTCTTTCACAAGAAAAATCAATTGAATTTTTTTATCTTAAATCAACTAAAAGAAACCTTTAAAAGATTTATTTCATTTCTTATTCAACAACAAATAATTATTCGAATAAGAAAAGATTTTTTTTTCAATTCTTCCTTTATTTATTAATTATATTAATAATTTTATTAGAATAAAAAAATATTTCAAATATTTCATTTTTATTTTTATTAACAACATTTCATTTTCTACAACACATAGAATATACGGTCAAAAAAAAACGTTTTCTTACATATAGTTATGAATAGAATAGAAATCATCACTTAAACAGTATAAATAAAAGTTCATTCTAAAAATCTTAATTATTGATACGCTCTTTCATACATTATCCAAGGAAAAAGAAAGCACTTCCGCATCATATTGTTCATTGATATGTCTATGAATAATCAACTAAAAACAGCACGAGCCGTTCACAAATTTATGTCGTTTGTAAAACTAATTGTGCTGCTCAGTTTTAATGTCGAAGTTATCAAGTATTTTTACCCGAACACTATCATTGATTGAGTAAGTTTCAAAATTTGTTTACTCAAAATAACCAGCACAACTTGTTTTACAAAGTTTTACAAACGAAACGCAGTTGTGAAAGGCTCGTGCTGTTTTTAGTTGATTACTCATAGAAACATCGATGAACAATTACGATGCGTAAATATTTTCTTTTTGGTTGAATGATCCATTAAAAAAGTATGAAAGAGAATATGAATAATTAATATGTTGAGAATAAACTTTTATTTCTATTATTAATTGCATGATTTCTATTCTATTCATCAAAAATAAATCTAAGAAAACGTTTTTTCAACCGTATATTCTATAATTAAAATGAAATATATGATTGAGCCATTTTGTAGTTGACAGATTGACAATATCTTTGTTTTATTCTTTAAAAAATCTATTTAATTATAAAATATGAATATTTTATGTTGATTTTAATGATTTTTAGTTAATTGATAAAAAGAATTGCAATTAAAAATATTTTAATAAAACTAAACTAAAATTTTCATATAGAAAATAATAAAGACTGATCTTGGATAAAAATAACTTATGAAAGATTGTTGCTGTTGATTTTAATATAATTAAAACATATTTTTCATATGTCTATTTTTATTTTCAATTAATAATATTAATAAAATCTAATATTCTTATTATGCTCGATTCTTTTATATATATTTCCTTAAGGTAATCCAAAAATAGTACGACCCCGGTGTTACTTCCTCGTTGTAAGCAAAAAAAACTTTTTCTTTTTTTCATGAATCGATAGAGCATCTTTTACTGAATCTTTTCATCTTATTTAATCAGTCTTCACTCAATACTAGAGTAAAAAACTTCGGTAAGAACTGTTTTTGTTTGAAGGTAGATCGTTGTATTACATTACAGGGTGTCCGGAAAGTCATTTATCAAAAAAAATATCAATGCTTCTCTTACGGCACGAGCAAACGCAAGCTGATTTTTTCCTAATGATAAAGACATGTCTAGAGAGATCATCTATTACATGTCACTATTGACTTCAACAACAAGAACTTTACTTTTTCATACATAAGAAAAAAAGAGAAGATACTGAATAAAGACTTTTTCTAAGCATGTATTTTGAAGAATAAACCTTCAACATATCTTTATCAATTATAGAATTAATCAACTCATTTGTTCGAACTATATGGAAAATAAGACGTTGATGATATTATTTTTCTATTAACCTAAGTATGTATGTTAATAATATAGAAAAAAGAATTTTTTTCAACGCTATTCGCAATTATTAAAGAATTTATTTAAATAATTCTCGAGAAAATATTTATCAATTTAGTCAGGATTTAGAAAATCTTTTATGAAATATTTATTAAAACAATTTGAAAAGAGGTTACATTTTTAAATAGATTTCATCAAAATCTTCACATAGAAAAACTATTTCATAAATTCTTAAAATAATATTATTCCAGATGGATAACGATATACTTTCGAATAGAGTAATTAACGAATTTTATGCCAAATGAAAGCTCATTAAAAACGACATTTATTCATATTAAATAGTCACAGTTATAGAAACTTTTTAATGTTGAACGCGTAAAAAATCTTCAGAAGTTTTTCATTTTTTTAGACTAGAAAGTTAAAGCGTCAGTAATTCAAAAACGGAGTAAATATTTTTTTTGTTGAATATTCTTACATGATTTGATCGAGCTGGTCGAGTTCTATAAAACTGTATACATTAGAGAATTTTACAAAACTCTTTTTTTATTTTTAGATGGAAGAAAAACATTCGATTTTTTAATGATATTATTTTTTTTCATTATTTTTCTAAGCATAAACGCTTGAAAGCATACTAAGTAGACGCAGGTTTTCACGCTCCTTCTAGTGAGTATATTTTGAAGTGTCTATGCCTGTGCTTGTAAAATAATGGAAACAACTAACTCCATTGAAATATCGAATGTTTTTCTTCCATCTAAAAATAAAAAAAGAGTTTTCTAAAATTCTCTGATGTATACAATTTTGTAGAACTCGACCAGCTCGATCAAATCATGTAAGAATAACCAACAATAAAATGCTTACTTCGTTTATGAATCGAGTGTTAAAATTTTTAGAATATTTTTATTGAAACAAAAGATTTTCGAAAAAAAAACATTTTCTATTCAAAATTATTAATTAAAATCAGTTTAGATATATATTGAAGAATAAAACTATTAATTTATTCTATACAATCAAATCATATTCTCATATTCATATCGATTAATTTTATCAAAAATCTTATTAACATTTGGCTCAAAATTAAATTATCAGTATAACATTCGATGCTCGGTAACTATATTATATTTGCTTATCCATCTCAACATGTTTTTCAGATGCGTTTATATTCGTTTTTGAGGAAAAAAAATCTTGCTCGCAAAGATTCGCACTGCGTTATCATTATGTTGACATGATGATCATCTCTTCTTCGAGCTATTCAAATAAGCCCTTCATTTTGATTATATAAACACGATCAAATTGTGCGATGAGTGTCACTAGAACATTAGATTTTTAATTATAGGCCGACATATTGAATCTATGAAAAAGATTTCTATTTTGACAAAATAATTAATTTAAAGTTAGCTTATATAAAAGAAAATATATTTAATTAAGAGTTGCTGACTTAGAGTTCTATTATTTTTCATATAAAAAAGAGAAAAGGATTTTTAATTAAGGGAAAATCAAATAAACAAGATCAAGATTTTTACCAAACGATGATAAATTAATTTTTTTGAAGAATAAAAATAGTTTGATATATAAATAAGAAATTGTTTTCGTTAAAGAAATCTAAATATGAATATTAATTAATGATAATTATATATTTTAATTCCCTTTCATCTGACAAATTTCTTAATTAATGTT